GTTCTAAATCATGGTTGACCAAGCAGACCTGTGTACTTGGCTTATATGCACTGCCTGTCTGGACAGTGGGCTGTTGTTTCTCCCATTTAAAAAAAATCTATGCTATAGATAATCCATTTTGTTGTTTTGTGAGCTGTGGCATAAACTGGAAAAGCAAAGAATATTGTGCTCAATGCTAAGCCCACATCACCTGTGTATGCACTAAATAAGAGCAGTCTGATACAAAGTTTGGAGCCGGATGTGATGATACACACCTGTAGTCCCAGCTCTTGGGAGACTGAGGAAGGAGGACTGCCGCAAGTTCAAGGCCAGCCTGAACTACATAGTGAAACCCTGTCTCCAAAAACCAAAATATAAAAACAAAAAAAGAAGTTTAGTGTGAACCTGTAATTCCAGCACTCTGGGAGGCTGAGCCAGGAGGATCACGGTTTGAGCACAGCCTGGGCAACAGAACAACTTAGTGAGTCCCTTTCTCAAAATGAAAAAAGAGACTGGGGATGAAAGAGCTGAGGAGATGGCTTAGTGCAAAGGCCCTGGGTTCAGTGCCCAGAACCACACACAGGAAAAGGAAAGGTGGGAGAGGTTTGTGTCCACCTGCCCCTGAGCCTCCTCTCAGCACAGCGGTCAGGAGTCATCCTGCTGATCTCCACAGAGAACGCCGTACTCTCTTGAGACCATCTCCCTGTGTAGCCCAGGCTGGCCTTCTCCCGCCTCAGCCTTCAGAGTGCTGGGATTATGGGTGTGCCTGTCACACTTAGCTTCCACTGAGTCTATTTAGCAGGCCCCGGGGCCAGATTTTCCCCAACCTCACCTCTACCTCAGCCCCTCTGCATGTTTTATGGCTGATGAACAAAGAATGCTTTTACTTCGTTATGTTTTGTTTTGTATTTCAGTGCTGGGGATCTAACCCAGCCTTCTGAGTGCTGAAAAAATACTTCATCAATGAGCTGGATCCCTAGCCCTCTACTTTTCTAAATGCTTGGGGAAATAAAAGCATGAGGATACTTTATATCCAGTTCAGATTTCACTGTGTGTAAATAAAGTTTTATTGGCACATAAGCACACTAGGGGTATGTTTATGGGCTCTGCCAGCACTACAGCAGCAGATGTGATTGTTGGGACCAGATGGCCTGCCAGGCTGAGCTGTTTCCTCTCTGGCCTTTCACAGAACAAGTCTGCTAGCCTGACACAGAGGAGCTGCATTTTGATCCATCTTATTTATTATTCTTTCCCACGGGAGTTCACATGAAGAAAGGCTCCTACTGCCTTCAAAACAAGTCTTTTTATTTATTTAGGTACCGGGGACTGAACTCGGGACCTTGCGCTTTTGAGGTGCCAGAACCACTGAGCTAAATCCCCGGCCCAAAAACAAGTCTTTTTAAAAAGTACGAAAACCTTCCCAGAGGTCAGTTCGACAAATGTGCATTTTTGGTGCTCTTTTGCCCCTGGGGGCAGAGTAGGGTGGGGTCACAGATCAGCCTGAAAATCCAGGTTGAGGCCTTCAAGAGGACCAGACTGGGCCAGCGATTTAGCTCAGTGGTTCCGATGCCTGCCTCGAAAGCCCAAGGACCCGAGTTCGATCCCTGGTACCAAAAACAAAACAAAAAAAAAAGAGGACCAGACTATGCGTTAGAGGTGACAGGACGAGGCATTTGTGCCAGCAGAGTTCTTGGTCTGAGAGGATAAGAAACGTATCCCTCCTTATAACTTAAAGCTATTTTTTTAAAAGAGAGTTTAAATATAGCTTAAAAGGAAATCATTTCGCCTCTATTCCTTTCCTCTCAAGTTAAAGGTTGCTGCCAATCCAGCAAATTCCCACTCTTTCTCGTTCTTCCTAATTGAAGAACAGTCTCCCTAACAGTGTGTGTCTAATTGAGCTGCCTCTCCTGTTGCTGTAGAATCCAGCACATTCCTGTTACTGCTATCTGCTTGGTTTCTCTGTGGTGAACTCTAAGCTGCTTTGATGTCCCCCTCACTAGCCAGCGAGGGGCTGTTTCTCAGTTTAGTTCAGGGTAACTTTCAGAGTGTTGGCTTTGGAGTTAGATTTATTAGTCTGTTACCAATTTCTGATCCCAACCTGGCTCCTTTTTCCATCTCAGAATTGAACCAACAACAAGACCAAGTGCACACTGAACAGAGAAAGAGACAGCTATTCTTGGCCAGGAATAGGAAAAGGGAAAGATGATCTGGAAAATCAACTCCTCCACCCCTTGGGGGCCCGGGAGGCCACAGATCTAAAAGAAATGAAGGGAAGAGCTAGGCTGACAAAGAGGAGGCCTGTGCCTGTCAGGTTTTCTGGGGTTTGGCTGCTGCCTTTTGCTCCTTTTGTGATTCTTTTGCCTCATGTTTACAGCCGCAGTGCACTGTCAGCACTGTCACTGCCTGACGGATTATAATCCACATGGAGAGTCTCTGTCAGCCCCTGAAGACCAGTTCCATCTGGGAGCCTCTGGCCACCTGTCCTCAGAGATAAACAAGATGAGGGCTTCCGAAAGCCCCACTTAAGAGCCCTTGAGGCTCCAGGGGGCATCTAGATATAAACCATACCGGGTCTGTCTCACAAGTTAAAAATTTAAAAGCCTGGGTTTGTATGGAGCTCAGCATGAAGGCCCTGGGTTCAGCCTCCATTCTGGAGTGAGGGGACCCATGCTTTCCCTCGCTGCAGCCCTGCAGGTGCACTTGGCATCCACCATGGTGCCCCACATCTCAATGCAACCTCATGCCGTCCCCAAATAAGCTGCTTGGAGAGTCAGGCACTCTGTTGCTAGTTTAGTTGGACAGCTGGGTGGCTAGTTTTGTTGTTGTTACATCTCTGACATCTCACATTTGGTCCTCTTTTAAAGATTTGGAGAGTTGGTTGAGTGGACTCAACATTTATCATTCATATACATATATAGTTTTTTTTTCTGGTACCAGAGATCAAACTCAGGACCTTGAGCTTGTGAGATAGTCAAGGTACCACTAAGCTAAATCCCCAGCCCTTGTTTTGTTTTGTTTTGTTTTGTTTTGTTTTTGAGGCAGGGTCTTGCTATGTAGTTCAGACTGGCCTTGAGCTCACTATGTGGCCCAGGCTGGCCTCGAACTCATGGCAATCCTCCTGCCTCAGCCTCCCATGTGCTGGGATTACAGGCTTGTGCCACCACACCCAGTGGCAAGATTTATCTTTTGGCAGCACAGGCTCTTGTGCATGGTAGATAGGTGCTCTACCCCTGATCTACACACCCAGCTCAAGGTTTATTTATTTATTTATTTAAATTTTTTTGGTATGGGGGATTGAACTCCGGTCCTTGGGCTTGTGCAGCAGGTGAAACCACTGAGCTAAATCCCCGGCCCAAGATTTATTTTAAACTTTATGCCATAGGAAAGGTTGGAAGTTACAATTAAAGCTTGCTGTTTGTCCCTGAAGAGTTTTCCAATATATTTTTATCCAATAATGACTGCAGTGTTTCTGTGTGATGGAATTGGGGTAATTCCTTTCTAGCATGTTCTAATCTCTGTGCTTTTCCCACATAGCCTATAAAAAGTTTAAGTATAAATTGAGTGCTATAAATAAATAAATAAATGGAGTGCTCACTCTGTGGGAAGCTTTATATTAATTTATAATAAGTGCTTTATATTAATTTAGTTTGTGCTAAATATTACTATTATACCTATTTTTACATGAGACAGCTAAAGCAAGGAAGGGTTGTAAATTGCTGTGGGTCACTTAGCTAAGAAGAGGTATAGTTGAGATTTGAACTTGGAATTTGCCTACTGGGTGTGTGCCACCGAGCTACAACCCCAGCCCATTTTATTTTGAGACAAGGACTAGCTAAGTTGCCCAGGGTGGTCTTGAACTTGCAATCCTCCTGCCTCAGCCTCCCCAGTAGCTGAGATTACAGGCATGCACCACCACACCCAGTTCTCAATTTTTAAAGTTACATTTTTCTCCTATTATACAAACATTTCCCATTTAGACTGATAGGAACTCTGGCTAAACATCATCTTTATATTGCATTTTTTTGGTATCGGGGATCAAACTCAGGACCTTGCACTTGCAAGGCAGGTGGTGGCGCCACTGAGCTAAATTTCTGACCCTGGATGTGTGTTCCTAACCACTGTGTTCTTTTATTATTTTTTTATTACTACATGTTTGCAGTACATAATGCATACATACATTCCTCGTGGTAGGTGGTACATGTATAATACATCCTAATTCATTTTACATCCCCCCCCCTTTCATCTCTTGGTCTCCTTCCCTTTTGCAAAAGATCTATATCTTTGTTTCCTATTATCTTTCTTTTATTTTGGTCTTTAATATATTTATACTTTGGGTTTCTCATTTAAGAGAAACCATGCAATATTTAACCTTGTGTGTCTGATATATTTCATTTAACATTATTTAACCACTGTGTTCTAACTCCCTTATTAGTCATAGTGTCTCCCGTTGGCCATATGATCATATGTGACTTACAGTTAATCTAAAGTAACTCCTTTGAAAAGTTTTACGTTTATTTGCAGTGTCAAGGATATGATAGATAACACATATCTGTGCTAAATGAATTAATGAATATGATGGTATGATAAAATTGTAACTAATACAATACAATATGATCATTGTTTCATTTTTCTTGGCTTCAAGTAATAACTTTTCCACTGTAGGTCTTCTTAGGAAATATCTATAGCCCACATTGGCTATTTTGAAGCATCTACTTTTAAGACTACAAAAATGTGGGCAAAGAAATTGCTTACCAAATCTATTTTTATCCCTAAATTCATTTTTGCTTTCTGGTACTCAGAAATTCTATGTGTTTCATTTAGCATTTTTCCTTTTTTGGGTCTGTCTGTTGAATATAGATCTATTGGTTTTAAACGGCATTGTGTTGTAACAGATTATTGAGTTCTCATAAAAGAAGATTTAAGGAATTTGGACATACTAGTCATGATAGTGAACTCTGGTTCTAAACCTTTGAAGACAGTAATGATCTTGAAATGTGCTTTGTTTTATATGTCTCTTTCAGAATTCTCCACTCTATCAGTACTTACAGGATTTGGGACACACAGACTTTGAAATATGTTCTTCTTTGTCTCCGAAAACAGAAAAATGCATGACAGAGGGACAACAAAAACCTCCTCCAAGAGTCCTACCAAAAGTAAGAAAGCATGCTCGCTCCTTTTGTCACTTACTGGTTTTTGACCAGTACCTAAAAGATGGAAGTTAGGGGGTTAGCACTCATATCCAGGCCATGCTAGGTAAGCAGTGGACCACTGAGCCACATCCCGAGCCCTTTTTATATATTCTCTTGTTTACATTCTGAAACAAGGTGTCACTAATTTACCCACACTGGCTTTAATCTTGCAATCACCCTGCCTCAGCCTCCTAAGTACAATAACTGGAATTAGAAGCGTGTATCATCATGCTCAGCCATCAGAACTATTTCTGCTAATCCTCTGTACTTTTTCTTCCCCTTTCAAGAATGAATATTCTGCCGGGTAGAGTGGTGCACACCTGTAATCCCAGCACGTGAGAGGCTGAGGCAGGAGAGTCGCTGCAAGTTTGAGACCAGCCTGGGTTACATAGTTCAAGTTCACCCTGATCTACATAGTGAGACCCTGACTCAAAAAAAAAAGGACGGGGCTGGGGATGTAGCTCAGTGGCACCTGGCCTGCCTCTTAAGTGCAAGGTCCTGAGTTTGATCTCTGGTACCAAAAGAAAAAAAAGGATAAATGTTCTTAGGAGAGAGTTTGAAAGCAAAACCTAAAGCCATACATAATAGGCTATTTATGGACTAAAAATTGGATTTGACAGGAGATGAGTATAGAAATCTAGCTTGGGCCAGGTTTGGTGGTGTATACCTATAATCCCAGCACTCAAGAGGCTTGAGGCAGGAGAATTGCTGCAAGTTTGAGGCCAGCCTGGGTTACATAGTGAGTCTAAGGCCAACTGAACTACACAGAGAGACCCTGTTTCCAAAAAAAAAATCTAGTTTGGGGAATGTTTGTTACAAATATGGGTGTTTAGATATTTAATCCTTGTCATTTCTAACAAGCACTCTATATATAGAAATGTTGTTTTAATTTATAAAGAAATGAGAACTTAAAATTTCATCCCCTCAGAAATTGAGGAATAAAAAGCATGAACAGGAGATGTTTTTAAAAATCACCATGTCAAGGGGCCAGAGATTTAGCTCAGTGGTTTCAACACCTGCTGCACAAGCGCAAGGACCCAAGTTCAATCCCTGGTACCAAAAAAAAAAAAGAAAAAAAAAAAAATCACCATGTCAAGGGCTGGGGATGTAGCTCAATGGCACTGTGCCCGCCTCCAAAGCGCAAGGTCCTGAGTCCGATCCCCGATACAAAAAAAAAAATCACCATGTCAAAAAAGTTCCTTTAGCTTTCATACTGCACTTTTCTAAAGACAGCCTTTTAACTGTACAAGCTGTGTGTCCCTAAGATGGATTTTTTTTTCTGAATCTAGGAACAACTAAATAGAAAGAAAGATTTAGAAAGATTTATTGAGTTATTCAGTCATTCTCAGGGAATATGATTTTAGAATTACCTACAAAATTCTGCTGAAAAAGTGAAATATTTACTTTCCTTGGAAAGCAATTTTTTGTATGTGTTCTTAAGGAGTCACTAGCATTGTACATGCTTTCTCACTTTTAACTCATTTTCTCATGTGATTATTACCTACTCATCAAGTAGTCTGTCCTGATATTCCTACCATAAATATTCATTCTCTGCCTTGTTTTCTACTTTCTTTTTCTGTGATGATGATTTTGTTTGTTTGGTTTGGTTTGGGTTATTGTTGGTTTGGGGGGGGCATGTTTTTGGTTTTGGTGGGGTTTTTTTGAGACACTGTCTCACTATGTAGTGAGACTGGCCTTGAACTCACAGCAGTCCTCCTGCCTACGCCTCCTGAGTGTTAGGATTACAGGCGTGCACCACTCCTGGGATGACTCATAAATGATCGTTTTAAGCAGTATGAGTGTCAGACCTCTTCTCTCCATGGTCTTTCCTCTCCAGTCGAGCTCCTCTACTTCCCTGGGTGCTTCCTCCAGGCCTTGCTGAGTTCCAGTGCTTGTTAGACATTTCCACCTGCACATGCCCAGAAACTCAGATTCAGCAGGGTCATGACAGGACTTCTTTTCTCAGCCACCCCCCAAACAAACAAACAACACAGTCTTTCTCCATTCCCACAATCCGTTTCTGAATTAAATACCATCATTGTGTTAACATCGATAGCAAATATTTATGTTCCCAAGATAAAAGGGCTGCATCGGGTGACTTCTCGCTACTTTTTAAAGCCTGGTTTCCAGGCCTCACTCCAAACCTATTGAATCAGACTCTGCAGTTTGGGGACCCAGAAACACATTTCTCACTATGATCCCTGGGTGATTCTGTTGTGTAACTAAACTTGGGAACTAATGAGGAGGCTGAAACGTGTTGGCAAAATGTACAACTGGGGAAATTATTTTCTCCCTTTTTCTGATGAAAATTCTGATAAAAATTTTCTGATAAAAATTAATTAGAAGTAAGTTGTTTGAAGTTTCTCTGCTTCTTGGGCATGTTTTTGTTTTTGTTTTTGTTTTTTTTTGGTACCGGTGATGGAACTCGGGTCTTTGTGCTTGCGCAGCAGGCGGCAAAACCACTGAGCTAAATCCCTGGCCCATTCTTGGGCATGTTTAATAACCCTATACAACATCCTTCGTCTCCTTCAGCAGGGCATCCTGTTAAAAGTGGCTGAAACCATCAAAAGTTGGATTTCTTTTTCTCAGTGCAGTAAGAAAGATGACTTACTTCATAAATTGGTGAGTGTTCACATCTTTGTCATTTTTTAGAGCTTCCCTTTATTAGTAAGATGACTGAGGAATTAGAATTTGTTTTGCTACTAACTTGGGCAGTGATTTATTTTTATTACAAATAATGGGGGACCTTTTAATTTGGGCTTCTTGGTATTCATAGCTCTCCTGTAAGGCTATTTGCCATTTAGAATGGACTGCTCTGGTAGTTAGTGAAGCTAATGTATTGCAACCATTTCTTCCATTAACAGGCGCTCCTCTGGGTGGAGAGGGGAATGTATCTATTAGCATGCTCCGCTTAGGCTTGGGGGCTGTCAGTTACAGAACTTCTCAGAGACGTGAAATAGTCAGCGCTGAGAATCTTTGTGATCTCCCTAGTCTCTGCTGTAATGTGTGCTACTGACCCACTACCACAGAGGGGGTGTGTTTCCATTTCTTACAACCTGGCAATATAAAACCCAGGTAGTGTAGCTAAAATATTCAAGTTCTAAGCACTTGGCAGGATCGTGGCAAGTTGGAGGCCAGCCTAGGCTACATAGTGAAGTTCAAGGTCAGTCTGAGACCTTGTCTCAAACAACAACAACAAAATTAAAATTCTTGTGGCTCCTGGGCTGGGATGTAGCTCAGTGGCGCCAAACTTGCCTGGCAAGTGCAAGGTCCTGAGTTCAATACCCAGTACCAAAAAAAAATTCTTGTGGCTCCCAGAAGTAACAATCAAGTTACAAGTAAGCAGGTTCAGGATCCTCTACTGGCCTGAGCCTTCTTGTGAATTAACATTCATAAGGAGATTGTTTACAAAGCACTTTCACCCCTTGACTTGATGTTCTAGACCACACTGTAAGATTTGATGTACTTTACCAGTGTGAAGGCCAAGGTCCAGACAATCTGATTTGGCTTAATCACTAATTCAGTGACATCTCCCAGAATGTCAGGTAGAAGGTGCTAGAGCCAGAACTTAAACCCAGGTCTCCTGGTCCAAAGCGCGTGTTCTTTCCCTTTACCTTGCATATTACTGTTTTCTGATTAAACTTATGTTTTTAGTAATCCACATTGCTAATTTCTCTGTTCAGGGTTAGATCTCTCTCTTTTTTTTTTTAACCGGGGATCCAACTCAGGACCTTGCACTTGGCAGGCAGGCATGGCTCGGGGTTTGATCTCTATACAAGGTACACTGAGAAGTCAGAGAAGTGTCTTGTTATTGCTCAGAGCATCACCTTCACACAAGGGGCATCATCTCATCTTCAGTGGCACAGGACTGTGTGAAGGTCCCTGGTTCCACGCACGTCTTCCTGTGGTTCACACAGAGTCTGTACCCTTGGTCTTTTCATCTGGGTCCATTGTCCTGGCCACGTGTGTCATGTGTCACTACAGAGTGCGAGCCTCTCACGCATCCCAGTGTGCCTGTACTACAGAGAAATGCAGGCATCCGTAACCAAAGGAATTGCCGAGTTGGCTTCTAGCATGAGATTGCTTGACTTTTTACCTCCTTGTGTGTGTGTGTCTGTGTGTGTGTTTCTGTGTGTGTGTGTGTGTTTGTTTGTTTTGGGGGGAGGTACTAGGGATCAAACTCAGGACCTTGCACTTGTGAGGCTGGCACGGTACCACTTAGCTACATCCCCGGCCCAGACTTTTTACCTCTTAATTATGACATATTTAAAATGTTTACTATACAAGCAGGCCTTCTTTCATTTTACAAAAATATTGGCAATTGCTCCATGATACATGAATATCTTACTGTTATTCCTTTTAATAATGCTTAAAGATTAAAATAAGAGTGATTCCTTTATAGCAGCTATTGATGATGGTGCTCTAGCACATTTAAGCACTGTGTAGCCTACAGAGTGCCTCCACACATGCCTCTCATTTGATCCTCACAGCAGCTTTATGGAAGAGCCTCACTGCAGGTGTCCACCGCCATAGCACCCTGAGCATGCCCAGTCTCAGAGGAAACAGCCATAGGATATTGAAAAGTGTGCACAATTGTTGAAGTCTTTATTGCTTAGCTGTACCTTCTCATATGCTTTTCAGTCCATCCAGGCAGAAATCTCCCTGGTTTTTGTTTCGTTTTGTTTTGTTTTGGTACTGGGGATCAAACTCTGCGAGGCAGGCAGTGTCACTGAGCTAAATCCCCAGCCCCTCCCCAAGTTTTTTTTCTCATGCTACTCCCCTACTTAGATCCTAAAAAGATCTGTTATCCTTCAAATCAATCCATGTTCGTTGTGTACTTTGTCTTTTAAACATTTCATTTGTGAAATTTGTTTCATTTGTAACTATCCCAGCTGCTAACACTTACATAGTACATACTACATGCCAGACACCCTTCTTAGACACTGGCTTATTTAATCTGTACAACAACCCTAAGATGTGCCATCGCTCTCCATGCCTGTAGATGGGAAGACTAAGACAGAAGTTACTAGCCCGATGCAGGGTGGAGCCAAGATAGACGCCTGGGCACAGTCTTGGCACTCGGACTTGCTGAGGATGAGCCAGTACCTGGCACCCCTGCAGGCAGCACAGACCCCCTGCCCAGAGGATGCCCACTGAGTGTCTAAGTCAGTCGGAATCTGTGCTTTCTCACTTTCTTCATCTGTTTGAGAATTAGCCTGTTCTCTCCGGTCAGATAAGGTTGTTGTGACATGTGTCTTAATTTGGCAGGTGGCTTTTCCTGGCCATTTGATTGTCACATTGAATTACAGTTTCCATAGTTTCTACATTTAATTTTTATTCTTATAATTAAAGAGTGATATAAGGTAAGGTGGCATATGCCTGTAATTCCAGTACTAGGGAAGCTGAGGCAGGGGGGTCATGAGTTCAAGGCCAGCCTAGGGTACATAGTGAGTTCCAGGCCAGCCAGGACTACATGTCAAGACCCCACCTCCAAGTAAGTAAGGTAAATAAATTTTATGACTTATCCTGAAGAAACTTATTTCATTAATTTAATCTGATTTAATTGAAAGAGCTATAATCATCAGAAAATAGTTGAAGGTTTTCCTTTGTAGAGGCCACCTAATCAATCAGATAACACAACTTTAGTTATTTAAAGTGTCTTGGTCCCTTTCAAGTTCATTTGTATGTATGAAGTATTGTATGCTTTTGGGTTGGGACACTAAAACATAGGAAGGCTGATCAGTGGGTACTAAGTCACAGGTAGAGAGAAGTAAGTTGGTGTGCTACTAAACAGTAAGGTGACCATGGACAGCATGGTATAGTGTATACTTCAAAACATTAGAAGAAAGGAATTTGAAAATGTCACCGTTACTAAGTGATAAACAAGGATATATGTTTAACCCAATTAAATAGTACATAAGGTTGACACATATTGCAACATTACATGGTACCCATTAATATGTACCCACTGATATGTTTAAGGTAAAAAATAAATTTAAAAAACTACCAGAGACTTAGGATTTGAAATCAGGAGTCTAGAAAGTAACTTGAACTCCCCTGTATAAAATAGAGAGAGGACAAGAATGCGCCTCACAGGCTCCAGTGAGAATCGGCCTGCCTGTCCCACACTGCCACCTGGTCCTACCTCCCTAATGCGACTGTTGTGTGACAGCTGCTATCAGTGGTTCTGCCCCCTCAGATGAGAGGCTTCTTTCCTATCTACCCTGCTCTTTCAGCTCTTTCACCTGTTCAGTTCTCATTCATCCTTCAGACTAGCTCCAGCTGGGCCAAGGATGTAGCTCAGTGGACAGTGCCTGCCTTGCAAGTGCAAGGCCCTGAGTTCGATTCCCAATACCAAAAAAAAAAAAAAGATTTTAGCTCCAGCTTCTTTGATTTTCTCTGACTTTAAATGTGGTCATTCTGTGTTCTGTTCATTGCCCCCTAGGTATAGTCATCACACTCCTTTGCATAGTATGTTAGACCCATTCACTTTTCCATTCTCTCTATTAAACTGCAGAGTATGTAAGACTAGAAGCTTTGGGGCCGGGGCTGTGCCTCATTGCAGACTGCTTGCCTGGCATACATGGGGCCCTAGGTCTGATCCCCAGACACATATGCACATGCATGTGTATATGAGAAGAAACTTGTATATCTTGTTCATTTTTTGTGTCTTCAGTGTTGGGCCTGGTGCCTGGCTTTCAGAAGGTGTTACTTGATAGACAGGTAGAAGGAAGAGAGGGAGGAATAAGTGAACTGCTGGTATATGTGAAAACATTTTGTAAACTATAAAGTGCCATGGAATGTTAGTGTGGTTTTCTATTACATACCTTAATGATACTTTTTTTTTTTGGTACCGGGGATCAAACTCAGGTTCTTGCGCTTGTGCAGCAGGCGACGAAACCACTGAGCTAAATCCCCAGCCCCTTATGATACATTTTTAAATATCTGAGTGTCCATCTTTAGAAGGCCTTGACCTGCTGATAGAATTCTTACATTTGGCTCCAGACGTGGTGGCGCACACCTGTCATCCCAGCTCGCAGGAGGCTATGGAGGATCACCACAAGGCCAGCCTGGGCTCCATAGCGAGACCCTGTCTCAAAAAGCAAACAAAACAGAACCAGGGATTTAGCTCAGTGGTTCCGCCACCGGCCTTGCAAGCACAAGGTCCCGAGTTTGATCCCCAGTACCCCCCCCCAAAAAAAAAAGCAAACAAAACAAATAATAATAATAATTCTTAGATTTGGGCTATATTGATATAGTATCCAGGGTCAGCATGCTTTTCACCATATTTTCTATGTGGGTTACATTTCCCACATTATATCCCAGCAGTTTAATTAAGTAGGTTTAAGTAGACAGGCTTATTAATCTGTAATTACTTTGTATCTCATTAAAACTTTATATTTCACAGTAACTTATATTAACTAGTAACTTAATAATATCCATCACAGTTTTTATTTTTTCACATTTATAGTGAAAATAAAACACTATCTATCACATTAAAGATAGATTGGACTGTTCTTTCTTCTTCTTAGAGTCTGGACTGAAAACACACCTCTAAATTGGCTTATATATTAGAAGCTTGAAGCATAGCATTTAAAATGTTATGTATGCACTAAAACCTCTCTTCCGGTCTTTTAATGGAAAGGATACTGGATTTCGACTCGACTCACTGCATACCATCCTGCAACAGGAAGTTCTTTTACAAGAGGATGTGGAGCTAATCGAGCTACTTGATCCCAGCATCCTGTTTGCAGGCCAAGTTCAACAACAGAAACATGGACACCTTCCAACGCTCTGCTCCCTGGCAACCCCTAATATTTGGTACTGTCCAGAAAGCATCTATTCTTCAGCTCCTTACATACAGGGTGTCCATGGAGGAAATCCGTGCTCATGCCCCCATTGTATGGGCACTATAAACATTCACACACAGCATCGTGATGAATGGAAGGATGTGTCAGGGGCAAAAACTGCTTATTTACAGTAAATACTCTACAGCGAAGCTGGAGGGGAATCCAATTTGATTATTTATGCTTCCAATTCAGTAAAATTACCAACCCCACAAACAGATATAAATGTGCTGAAAGGAATCTCTTACCCATACACCTATGTAACCTGTTGTTGATGTTTCTTTATAAACAACAGATGAGGGCCAGGGATTTAGCTCAGTGATTTCACAGCCTGCTGCGCAAGCGCAAGGACCCGAGTTCGATCCTCGGTACCAAAAAAAAAAACCAAAAAACATGATATCAGTCGCACTATAGGGACTCTAAGGATAGGATGGGACATGGAGATAAATAATCAACTGTTGCTGAGGAGGGATAAGGGGAACATAATTTGATGATTTAAACTATCCTAAAACTTATTTGGGAGGCTGAAGCAGGAAGTTCAGAGGAGCCCAGGCATTAGGGGCCAGCTTGGGCAACATAGCAAGACCCTATCTCGAAAAAAGAAAACAAACATGCAACAAAAACTGTTCTGAAACAGTTAACCACTTGAACCTTTTGGGTCTAATGCAAAAGTCCTGGGCCATAATTTGTTTTCAAAAAAGAAAAAGAGTGGATCATGAAAAGAGCCTGTAGGAAGAGGTATTGGTGACTATGTTCTGTTAGAGTTTGCTACGCTTGCTACAGAGGGGAGAGAAAGTCTAGGAGCCCAAGTCGCTATGCGCTGCACCAGAGCAGGAAGCACTCAGCCGCTGCCCGTCCATTCCTGTTGCATGGTTATGTGCATGTGGTAGCGGACAGCTGGGCTTGATATCTTCCAATTCCATAGTTACTCAACATCCTCATGAAGAAATCAGCATTTCTTTTCCTTAAAAAATTTAAGAATTTGCCAGGCATAGGAGCACATGGGAGGCTGAGGCAGGAGGATCACAAGTTTGAGGGCAGCCTGGAAACTTAGCAAGACAAGTCATTTGCTTTTCTTTCTTTTTTTTAAGGTCATGCTCCACAGTGTATCTAGAGTCTTACTTATTTTGTAGACCTCAATTTACAATTGCTTTCAGGATTGAAGTAACTCGTGCTTCTTGTCTGATGGATACCATTTTCTTGGTTCTCCGTTCCTAGGGACGTCTCGGTGCTGTTTGCCTTTATCAGCTTGCTCATTATGCTTCCCACCTGGTGGATTGTATCTTCCTGGCTGGTGTGGGGAGTTAGTCTGTCTGTGTATTTGATCACACGAGCTTTGAGATTATGGAGGACAGCCAGACTACAAGTGACCCTAAAAAAATACAGCGTCCGTTTGGAAGACATGGCAGCAAACAGCCGCGCGTTTACTAACCTTGTGAGAAAAGCTTTACGTCTCATTCAAGAAACCGAAGTCATTTCCAGAGGATTTACACTGTGAGTTCAATTTTCGTTTCATTTTTAAAATGATTCTTCTCTACTGTATAGTTTAAGGAGACTACTTACTGCCTGTTTTTATTTTTATGCTGTATTTACAGGAAAAAAGTGGACTGCTCTTTATAAGTCATTGAGGTCTATGAATTGTTCAGTGAAGGGATAAAGACATTCTGTGCTAGATTGAATATGTAGTACCATTTTGCTTGTCTATTATGAGAAGCTGAAGCATCTGAGGATTATGAGTGTTTGGTATATTACCATGTGGTTGCATGAGATAATAGGGGGAGGGCATAACCCAAGCCCCCTGCATTAGGTACCCAGTAAGTGTTTATCCCCTTTACCCCTCACCGGAAGTTTCAGTGATTGATGTATCTGACGTGAATACATTTTTGGACTTCATAACACATGTTAATAATACCCTGTAGGTGAACATTAGCAGGTTCTATGGTACCAATACTTTCAGAACATTACACAGATAGTGGTATTTCCTATTCCCATATTCAGCAGTGCAGCTCTAAGTGTCTGAGCTACAGGCTCTACTAGCTGCTTCCCTTTTTCTTAAAGGAAAGGCACTTATTGAGCACCAACTATGTTCCTTCTACAATTCTAGTCACTGTTGCCTACAACTAGAGTCTACAGTCATAAATGATAGAGTAACTACCCCCACCTATTCCTTGGACTTGTAAAGCCTGTTTCCAGTATACAGCTAAAGGCTCACAAGTGACAGCTGGACTGCAGAATGTGGAGTAACTTAAATAACCGATCTAACCATTGCAGTCTATGGGAGGGAGGAAGTACATAGATGACAAAGGAGAATTGTTGCTTTTAATTAGTTGTATCTGGAAAATCATGAAAAGTGGGAGTGAAAACTCTGCTAGTTTGCATCCTTCATTCTGCCTTGTGCTGGAATAGCACATAAGCACCCTGGACGCAGAGCTGTCTTTGGGAAACCGTGGGACAGAGAAGTAGAAGAGTCTCTTGGTTGTGCTCTGCATGGCAATCCTATTTAAGTGATCCCCACAGCAGGATCTTATCGTCTTTCTGCTCTACTCAAAGTGCCCATCCTCAGAATCTGTTATTAGTATCTTTCCATGAGGGTAAGACCTCTTCTTGGTAGAAGATAGCAAATTTTAAGTTGTTTGTTAAACTTTAAAAGTTACAAATCAAATTTAAACTAAGCACTATCTCCCTTGCGTTCTTGAACTGCACAGCAGTTAATTGCGCGCCCACACTGGTTCGCTGAGTGGCTGTACACCCGTCCAGCACTTAGGCATGTGTGAGGAGTCTGTGCTTTTGTCAGTTTCCGCTTTTTCCCATATCTACAGAACTGACACGAAAAGGTAAAGTGGGCCCGTTAGACACGATTTTCCTCCAGATTATGCTTTTCTACGAAGACAGATGACAGACAGGCAGAAGAAATATTGGAGGAAATCATGCTTCATTTATCACACTGGACAATGGATTGGAAAACTGAGGAGGAATAGTAAAACTTGAATCATAAGTTTTAGAAATATTTTTTGTCTGTAACACTGATTTACTAGAACATAAACTCAGTTTGTCCCCTGTAGCAAATAACTGTTCTCTGCCTGACAGTTACTGTCCACAGATTTTAGTTTGGTTTGATGTTAAGTTTTGAGTTAGGTGTCGTTCTTTTTTACAGGTTGGTGGTTATAGTGCAGTTAATTTATAAATGCTGATGTTGGGCCGGGGATTTAGCTCAGCGGTTTCGCCGCCTGCTGCGCAAGCGCAAGGACCCGAATTCGATCCCTGGTACCAAAAAAAAAAAAAATGCTGATGTTGTTTTGCTGCTGGAAGTTACTGGTTAGATGAAAAAAGTATCATCTAATAACTAATGTTTAATCCTGCATACTTACAGTTACAAAACAGCACATTTTATGTCATTGTTACAAATGGATACTTCTGGTTAATCTTAAAGAAAGTGCCATGAAATGTGCTCCTCTTGAACAGCTTTGTGGTAGCTCTCCTGCCACACAGTAACCCTCCCTCTGCCTCTCTACTTGCATTCCCCTGTTGGCCACTGGTCCTGTTACCTTTCCGCGTCCCCTACTTCATTGTGAGTAGGTAAGTGCCAGTGGCAGCAGGTGGGTAAGTAATTTTGCCCTACTTTTATGGACGTACAGAATGTATTTTTATACAGTACTGGATTGTTCTGTACAGTGGCCAAGTATATGAATAATGGACTTATATAAATGTATATTAAGAATATGAATGTGTTGATAATGATGCCCTTCATACATCCTGTGAATATAGGTTTTGAAAACTGTAAAGTAGCTCCACTTTAGTGTATTTTAGCAGGCAGGGTACCTTATAGGACAAATAAAAGCAAATTCTTATGTAAACATTTCTACATTTCTGTTGTATCTGTATGAGAGGACGTGTTTCCTCTTTGAGAGTCTGAATTTTCCCATGCTCTTTTTCTGGTGGCTATGTAATATATGAGGGAAATGGCTATTTTATTTATGACACCTGAGTTGGGATCCCTAGTCATTTTCTGATGAAAATTATGAGGAAGGAGCTTTTGTTCTAAGTTTAGTAGAACTGTGGATTTAGGAAACGACAACTGTAGGACACCTGTACAGTTGTATCACATTTTACTTTTCAAGTTTGCTTGACAGGGTCAGTGCTGCTTGCTCATTTAATAAAGCTGGCCAGCATTCCAATCAGCATCTCGTTGGCCTTCGGAAAGCCGTCTACAGGACTGTGAGCGCCAACTTCCAAGCGGCAAGGCTGGCCACCCTGTGCATGCTGAACAAATATCCTTTTCTGCCTGTCGAGGAAAAGCAGGGTTTGCGAAGTCCTGAGCAGAGGTGTTAGAGTGGCGCCCTGTGAAAGCGAACTGTGATCGAGGTTGCTTACTTACAGCCAGTTTCCATTCTAAAGCTGGAAGTGTTTTCCAGTGGGGGACAAGAACAGACAGGAAGAGAATCTCTCTGCTTCTGCAGCTCATTTTTAACGGGAGAAAGTTATAAAGTCCCTTCCTCACTGGTCCAAAGAACAAAGTCGAAAGAGCATAGCTTCACTAGGTCTGAGATTTTTGGGGGGGGGGGGGCTACCGAGGATCGAACTCAGGACCTTGTGCTTGCTTGCAAGGCAGGTGACGGAACCACTGAGCTAAATCCCCAGCCCGGTCTGAGATTTTTTTGAGACAGGATCTCACTATGTAGTTCAGGTTGGCCTTGAATGCAAGGCAATCCTCCTGCCTCAGCCTCCCAAGTGCTGGGATGAGAGGCATGTGCCACCATGACTGGCTAGGTCTGACATTTTAAAAAAAGACTGAACATGGCAAATTTTTGTCATGACATGGTAATATAAGAACAACAGGAAATCTTTCCCCTTTCAAAATATAGACTGTAAGTTCAAAATTTGGCTCTCTCAGTTACTGCCTAGTTCCTTAACCTCGCTGCTCTTGCTCTTTTTATCTTTAAAATGGTAATAATAACATATCGTGTCCCACTGATGTTAGGGTCAAATGAGTTAATACATGTAACAGGGTTACAGGACCTAGCACACAGGAAGCCCTCCAAGACTGCAGGACAGGAAGTCTGTGCTTGAATTTACTAAGTCAGGGTATTATTGTCCTGGCCAAAGAATGGAGGTTTACGTGATCTTTATTGTAGTAAAGATTCAGAGATGTGGTACATTACCGGCAAATGGAGGCGGAGAGACTGCTCTGCACTTCAGTGTGCTCAGAGCTGTCACTGATCACCACAGTGTTAGTGTCCAAACTGCTCTGTGTTGTATCATGACGTCCTACCCTGACCTTCCTAGCTAGATCTTCTCATCTTCATCCAACTGAAAAACAAAAATAGAGGTTATCTGACAGCACGGTGTCACACAAATAGTAACAGGTAAAGTACTGACTGGGACTTACAACTTACAACATTGTGTGTGTATGTAACTACTATGCTACTTGCGTGAAAATGGACAGAAAACATTTTAATCTTCAAGACTCACCCGTTCACTCCTCCCACTCCCTGAATGTTTCCCTGCTACGTGTCACATGTTCAGGCACTAAGAACACAGGGGAAGCCTACAGTACAGGTGGTAAAGACCTTCAAGCATGCTCAGCAGATGAGCCAGCGCTCAAACTCTGGCCTGGAGGCGCAGGCCGCCTTCCAGCATAGCAGGACATTGCACTTGGGCTTGTGGGACAGACATCTGCAGGGAGCTGGCCGTGAGCTGAGGTGAATGGGAGCTGGGAGCTGCTCTGGAGAAAAGGGTGTGCATTCCCGGAAGAAGAAAGGAAGGAAGGTGCATGGAATGTACCGGGGGCAGGTCAGGTCAGGTCGCCAGTCATTGGCTGAGCGCGAACAAACTCCCACCAGGCAGTTCGGCACTCGAGAGATCTGCAGCACAGTAGACCAGGCCCTGCCTCACAGTGGTTGTAGTTCCGTAAGAGGAGGGACTGAGGGATTCCTCCTACTGCTCACATTCGGATCAGCAGGGACCTTTACACAAGACCCTTATTCTCGTGCAACTTGCCTTCTCGTGAGCAGGTAGCTGATACAAAATGAGCAGGTAAGACTTCCAGGTATTAAAATTACTGTAAGGGTCTGGTGGCGAACCTGTGGCACGTGTGCTGCAGCCATTTGTTATCAGTGAAAACTCTAAAGGGTTTACCATCACTGCTCTACACAGAACCTGAAGGAATTAAAAGGAGAAAGAATACATCAACCAGTTTTTAGAAAAGATCAGAAAGATACGTAAACCCTCCCGGGACTGATAGACGTGAACACCAGAACTGTACAGGGTTAGTGGTGAGGAAACCGTGCCCACAGAAGCCTGGAAAAGGGAGGGGAGGAAGTGCTTTGTTTCTTATCAAAATGATAAGGGGCAACACTGACCTAAGAAGAACTTTAAAACTTGAGGAGACTGGATGTGTGATGAAACAAATGTTGCGATTACAAAAGAGCACCTGGATATATGCAAACAGTGGAAAATATACAACTATTAAGCAAACAGTTATAGGGTTCTTGACACATGATGGTAGAACAATCTTGAAGACATGGTACGTGAAAAAAAAGTAGCACTGTTTTGTTTGTTTTTTGAGACAAGGTCTCACTGTGTAGCCTAGGCTATCCTGGACCTCGAATGATCCTCCTGCCTCAGCCTCCTGAGTACTGGGATTACAGATGTGCCACCATTCCCTCAGGGAATTGATTGGCCAAGGATTAGGTCTGGGAAGCAGTTTTCACTGTTCCTCTTAATACTTTATAAAATTTAAATTCCATGAATGGATTGCCTGTTCAAAAACTAACTAAAAAAAAATTTAGACACTGGGTTCAGGTGACTTTATAATTTGAAAATAAATTTCAGCCCATAGTAAAGGTTAGAAAGCTCCCCCACATCATTTTATTTATGAAAAACTATAATCTCAGTATCCAAACAAGATAAAACACTAGAAGAACTAAAGAATAAACACTAGACACCAACCTTACAAATGTATAAAAGATTTCATAAAATATTTGTAAATTTAACCTAGCAGTGTATCAAAAGATGATCATAATGTGACCAGAGGCAACCATGAGAAATATCAAGGTGGTTCATTCTTGAGAATTGCATAGATATAACTCTTTACAAAAATAATGAGAGGGGAAATAAGTTTTGACTGATGCTGACCGATGTCCTGGGAAGAGAGGAGACGTCACAGCAGCCCAGCACACACCCAGGAGAGGCCAGATGCTGCTCCCCAACCCCGCTGCAGTGCTCCGCTCATGGTGCAGTGGGGTGCAGGCGAGGAGGCAGCAGGGAGGATTCATGGCAGCTTAGTGAGGGTGCAGCTGTGACACAGTAACCCAAAACTCGGCCTCTAAAGGCAGATGTCAGAAATTACTCAATTAAGCTGAGCATGGTGGCGAGGGCCTGCAATCCCAGCACTTGGGAGGCTGAGGCAGGAGGATTGCCAAGCGTTCCAGGCCAGCCTGCGCTATATAGCGAGACCCTACCTCAAAAAAAAAGAGTAGGGCCGGGGATTTAGCTCAGTGGCACCACACCTACCTCGCAAGTGCAAAGCCCTGAGTTTGATCCCCAGTATGCCAAAAAAAAAAAATTTTAGCACCTTGAAGTGTTCAATTTTAAACTGTTGAGACAATGTAGTCACAACTCATCTGAGTGTTATATTCATATATTGGTCTAAGATTAATCTCTGCCTAAAAACCGATATGCATCTCCTCCAGTACAAGTTCAGACTGAAGGTGACCCCGGCCAGCGCAAGGGCAGCCTTCCCGCTGGCTGAGGAGGCGAGTTGATTGCCTTAACCCGATTTAACCTACCCCCTGAACGCCGAGAGTGACAATGTCACCAACTACATCTGTGTGGTGCCTTTTAAGGAGCTGGGCCTGGGACTCAGCGAAGAGCAGATCTCGGAAGAGGAAGCACATCGCCTCACAGACGGCTTCGCCCTGCCTGCCCTGAAGGTGACCGCCTGCAGGGGCGGGGGCAGGGGGGAGTGTGTGCTGGTGTCCCAAGGGACCCAGCTGACTGCTGTCACCTCGTGACCTTTGACACCGCTTTGTTTGAGATGGGTCTCACTGTGTGGCCCGGGCTGGCCTGGATCTCTTGGCGACCCTCTTGCCTCAGCCTCCCAAGTGCTGGGATTACAGGTGTGCAACAACACACCTGCTCTGTGACACAGTATTTCAAAGCTAAGAGCATCGTGCAGATTGGATAAAGAGATTTTTATATTGTGATATCAAAATTCTTAATACAAGAAATGTCTTAAATTAGAACTTGGAGATAACTGAGTTGCTCTTTAATAGGAAGTGATTTTATGACGAGCCATTTGTTTCAACAAACATGGATAAAGCATTAAGATCTTCATCTTCCTGTGGAAAATTCCCATGTTTATATTAAGAAATGGAATTTTTTCATATGGTAAAAGCCACATAAAAAGGTATGACTGACTACATAAAAATTAAACTTCAAACTTCAAATACAGTGTACTTTTTAATAAGCTCAAAAAATTATAACAATTAGCTGGGCATTGTGGTACACGTCTGTAACCCCAGCCCTTAGGAGACTGAGGCAGGAGGTCCCTGCGAGTTCAAGGCCAGCCTGCACTATATAATAAGACTTTGTCTAAAAAAAACAAATAATTATAACCATCTTTTTTTTTTTCCTTTGGTACTGGGAATCAAACTCAAGGCCTTGCACTTGCAGGGCAGGTGCAGTGCCACTGAGCTAAATCCCCAGCCTAACTATAACAATTTCCAACAGAGGGTTTAATTCTTGTTATCTAAAGAATACTAAAGTATCTAAAATTTTCAGAGCTAGGGGTAGATTGTTTGCCTGGCATGCACAAGGCTCTGCGTTCAATTCCACAGCACTATAAAAACAAAAATAATATATATAACTTACAGGACGTAGGTCACAGAGGAGAAATATAAACACCAGTAAGCACAATAAAGTGCTCAATCTTCGTAATGAAAGAACAAGCATTTGTGATTTTTACCAGGGACACAGGAAGTTGGTAATACTCATTGCCAGGGAAGATGCAGGGAGGCCTCACACTGGCGTGGGAGCTGAGATGGCCCACCGGAGCAGGAGCCCGTTGGCCAAGCGGAGGTGTGTGGGGCATCTCAGGAGCAGACAGTAGCAGGACAGATGACACGTCCTATAACCCAGAATGGCTAGTGCCTGATGGGGAACTGCCCTGGTGTCAGGAAAATATTAACCTGGAAAAACATGAGTTAAAGCAAGTTACGGAAACAGGTTGTGCAGTAAGAGTCCAGTAGCATCAGGCCAGGCCCAGTAACACACGCCTGTAATCCAGCACTCCTGAGACGGTGTGGTAAATTCAAGGCTGGCGTGGACTGTATAGCAAGATCCTGCTCCCAAAAGCCAGGGAGGATAGACAGACAGACAGACCTGATACAAAGTCCTTATACCTCTGGAAGACATAACAGGTTGTTTCTCCCCTCCCCCTTTTTTAATTTTGTTTTTGAGACCGGTCTCACTCTGTTGCTTACGCTGACCTTGGTCTTGTGGCCTGAACTCACCCTCCTGGCTCAGCCTCCTGACTAACTGGGGTTAGCTACATGCTTCACCACATCCTCTCAATTCTTAACTAGTTTTTATTATTATTATTATTATTATTATCATAAAGGACTCTATTTTCTGATTTTAAAAATGAACACACTGAGAAGTACTTAAAATCAGAATTTCCTGTTTGCCCCCAGCTTATCCAGAGCTTATCCAGGTGGTCCCTTCCTTGTCCAGAGCAGCTTCCTTTATCCAAAGAACAGAAAAAGATACAGCATTTTTGAGTTTTAGCTGAATGGATAATATGACAGGGATTAACGAATAATGGGTCCTATATTGTTTTGGAGGGTTTTTTTGGTTTTTTTGTTTGTTTCTTTGTTTGTTTTTTGGGGGGATCAAAATGAGGACCTTGCACTTTCGAGGCAGGTACAGTGCCACTGAGCTAAATCCCCGATCCCTATATTGGGGTTTTGTTTGTTTTTGTTTTTGAGACAGGGTCTCACTATAATTCAGGCTGGCCTTGAACTCACTGTGTAGTCCAGACTGTCCTTGAACTCGGAGGCAATCCTCCTGCCTCAGCCTCCGAATGCTAGGCTTGTGCCACCATGCCAAGCAGTTGGGGTTTTTTAAGTAGAAGTAGGGCCGGGGATTTAGCTCAGTGGTTCCGCTGCCTGCCTTGAAAGCTCAAAGTCCTGAGTTCAATCCCTGGCACCAAAAAAAAAAAAAGTAGAAGTAAGCTATACCAACTTGATTTCTTTCAGATGCCTTGTCCTAAAATGCGGGCCCCTAATGCCCCCTTTCCCTCCACCCCTGCCCCAGTGGCAGTCTCAAACCTACACCTGCTGGGACCCAGCAGACTGCTCTTTCCGCCTCTGGCCTTGCCTTCCCCACCCCAGGCCTCTGCGCACCCTCTTCCTCTGCTCCTCTCTTCCCAAAGTCTTTCCTCCCAGGCCCATCCAGGAGGAAGCGATCTTGTTGCTTATCAGTTCCCGTGGGTGTGGGAGTTTCCTTTCCTCCTTTGTTCACGGCTGTGTTGTTGACACCCAGAACAGTGCTGGGCAGCATTAGTGCCAAAGAAATATTTTCTAAAATCATTGTAGTGCCAGGGATGTAGGTCAGTGGCGCCACACCTGGCAAGCCCAAGGTCCTGACAGAGAGAGAGAGAGAGAGAGAGAGAGAGAGAGAGAGAGAGAGAGAGAGAGAGAGAGAGAACTTGCAGGAAAGCTTGCTCACATTAAAGCATTCCTAGATAGTGTGTCTTTGACAACATGCAAATTTGGCCTTGCTCACTTTTGAAGAACTTAATAGTGAAGTAGACCTACCTGAAATTATCTTGGTTCATTACTGGCATAATTTTAAAAATTCAGGTAGTGAAACCATCTGTTATCGTTGAGAAGGACACTCGTCCCTTTTCGCGGTTGTAAGTAACTGGACTCAGTTCCCCAGAGTAGTGCCGACCTCTTCTGTCGTCCGGCCCCTTTTCCTGCGAGGCTGCGCCCTGTGAGTGTCCTGAGCAGGGCTTCTGGAGGAGGCTCGGCTGCCCGGCCCCGCCTGCGGCTGCCTGCACAGGGGTCTGCAGCGTGACCACTCTCAGGCTGGTTCATGTGTTCATTTCTTAGCTGATTCCTTGGCCATGAGAAGGTGCGTGTTTCCAACCTCGAGCTCTTGGTCCATCAGTGACTCACTCGCCCCCCTGTCCGGCAGGGAACGGTGTGTGCAGTAGTGGATCGTGGGCTCCCCAGGCCATGACTACATAATCTAATGGGACATTCTCGGCTGGTCTTAGAGTTAGACAAACTCAGCTATATTCATTATTTAGGATAAAGTTTAAAAAATTAGGCCTGGTGGTGCAGGCCTGTAATCCCCCACTCAGGAAGCTGAGGCAGGAGGATGGCTGCTAGTTCCGGGCTGGCCTGGGCTACGCAGCAAGATCCTGTCTCAAAAAAAAAAGTTTAAAACTTTTAAAACAAGTTATGATGTCAAATTTATAGTTTATTTTTAATGCAGACCACTGTTTTACTATCAGTCCTTTTCTGTAGGTTCTGTTTCAGCTCTGGGTGGCGCAGAGCTCCGAGTTCTTCCGGCGCTTGGCCCTGCTGCTCTCCACCGCCAACTCCCCTCCGGGCCCGGAGCTCACGCCTGCTCGCTTGCCGCACGGCCTGCTGTCGGATGTGACTCGGGGCCTGCCCCACGCGCATGCCGCCTGCCTGGACGAGCTGCGGCGCAGCTACGAGTTCCACCGCTGCTTCGAGACGCAGCCCCGCGCCGCAACCCCGCGCTCCGCCCGGGCCCCGCAGTCGCGGGAGCTGAGCCGCGTCCACACTGCCGTGCGCAGCCTGCAGCTCCACCTGAAAGCGCTGCTCAATGAGTAAGTTCCGGGGCGTGGCAGGGAGTGTCCCAGTTAACCGGCGTCCTCCTGGCGTCCTCAAGGCCGCTGGCTGTGTCCTCGCTAAAGGGAAGAGACAGTTGAGAGACACCGTGCGGGACAGTTCAGAGCTAGAGTGTAGCAGAGAAACCGAGATCTGTAAGTACCGCTCTGATTTTGGAGAGTCAGTTACTTGCTTTTCTTGATTTCATCAGAAAACCTGAAAAGATAGGACCAAAGCAGGTGGTGTTCATTGTTGTCGAGAGCTGAAATGAAAAGGTTTTTAAGAATGAGATTCTCCACGGGCCTGGTGGCACATGCCTGCAATCCCAGCCCTCAGGAGGCTGAGGCAGGAGGATCTCCAGGAGCTGGAGGCCAGCCTTAACTATACAGCAAGACCCTGTCTCAAACACGAAAAATAGACATATCAAACCACACGAGTTTCACCACTGTTCAGGACCATGTGCCTACTCTAGGGCGTTACCCACTGACCCTCCTTCCCCCGGGCAGATTAGGGTTCCTGAAACACATTTGCTTTCTCACGTGTCTGAAATCACTGGTCTCCAAGGATAGCAGCTTGGACTAAAGGGTGTACAGATATCCCATTAAAATCGTAGCCTTGAAGTCAGACGTGGTAGCACATGCCTGTGATCCCAACACTAAGATCTCAGTGAGTTTGAGGCCAGCCGGGGCTCAGTAAAGGGTGAGGAGTGGGTGTCCTGGCCTGGCTGCAGTCTGAGCTCCTGTCTGCGTATCTCATCCTTCCTGAGTCCTGCCTTTCCCCGCCAGCTCCCATGATCCTCCACGCTCTGTGCCTCTCGGAGCCCACTCACCCTGCAGTGCTCCCTCAAAAGCTCCTCCTCCCTAGCCGTTCCTTATCCGTACACATAACTGCAGGTAATTGAATTCCCGTAAGATTATCCGAATCTGTGATGTTCTCCTTTGGGGCCTGGATTCAGCCAACTTTACCAGCTTTATGACTGGGCGAGTTGGGGTTGTTTTGTTTTGTTTCTCCCTGAATTTAATTTCTTACCTGTAAGATGAAAATAAAATGTTGTATCTGGGCATGGTGGTACACACCTGTAATCCCAGCACTTGGGAGGCTGAGGTAGAAGGATTGCAAGTTTGAAACCAGCCTGGATGCCATAGCAAGTACTAGGCTCTCCTGGACTACAGAGTGAATTTGAAACCTGTCTCCAAAAATCCAAACAAAGTATATGATTCAGTGGTATCAAATACATAGAATTGTTGCACAGCCCTTAGCCCCATTCAGCTTCAGAACATTGTCATTGGGCCGGGGATTTAGCTCAGTGGTTTCATCACCTGCTGCGCAAGCTCAAGGACCCGAGTTCGATCCCCAGTACCCAAAAAAAACAACAACAGAACATTGTCATCTAAGCTTCATTTCTTTCTTTTTTTTTTTTTGGTACGGGGGATCGAATTTGGGTCCTTGCGCTTGCGCAGCAGGCGGCGAAACCACTGAGCTAAATCCCCGGCTCTAAGCTTCATTTCTAAATAAGCCTTGCAAACCATACCTTTCTCATTTTATATTTTAGAATCTGTTTCTGTTTTTTACTATAACCCAGGGTAATAATTCTTGAAGATGAACTTGAGAAGCTTGTTTGTACCAAAGAAACTCAAGAACTAGTGTCAGAGGCTTATCAAATCCTAGAACAGAAATTAAAGTTGATTGAGCCCCATGTTCACGCAAGCAATAATTGCTGGGAAGAGGCCATTTCCCAGGTGGACAAACTGCTGCGAAGGAATCCAGACAAAAAAGGTACCTGGGAATGCTTTCTTTGGCTGTGTTTGTCGAAAGTGCTTATTCTCCTTGGGCAGGGTTTTGTTAGATAGCTTTCTTATCTGGAGGATGAAACCAGTTCAGAAATGTTTTAGTTTACTTTTCAAAAGTTGCATTTAGCCAGGCGTGGTAGCACACAGCTGTGATCCTAACACTTGGGAGGCTGTGGGAGGCTGAGGGAGGAGGATCACCGTGATTTCTAGGTTAGCCTGGGCTACATAGTGAGACCCTGACTCAAAAGTTGAATGTACATGTATAAATTGACACTCAATTCAAAGTGTTGGTTCTTATATTGAATATAAAAATGAATGATTTGAAAGTTCAGTAAATTTTCTCTTTTTTAAAAAACTGAAATAAGATAAATTTTGACATTATTTCCTGTTATCACAACTTCTAGAAACTTGTAGTTAATAAAAGAATGAGTTTGGGCCAGGGATTTAGCTCAGTGGTTTCACCTCCTGCTGCGCAAGCACAAGGACCTGAGTTCAATCCCTGGTACCAAAAAAATAAAATGAAGAATGAATTTGGTGGTCAATGATCAGATACTGAGTTTTCTTTAAGATAAATCATGAGGCCCGGGGATTTAGCTCAGTGGTTCCACCGCCTGTCTCGAAAGTGCAAGGTCCTGAGTTCAATCCCCGGTACTAAAACAAAAAACAAAAAAAGATGAATCATTGAAGTAATAAGGCAAATTAACCAGGAGTGGCCCTGCAGACTCATTACTAAGCGCCAGTATTTAGCGGTGCTGTGAGATTTTCGCCACCAAAATGCTTTTGTCTGCCTCAGATTTGATGCTTGTTTGCATATCACTAATTTTATTTTGAATGTTTTGCCCATTAATTTTGTAACTACTGCAATCCAATGCTGTGTTCTCCCTGTGAACCTTTGTTAGGAGGCTAACCAGACTTCTACCCAGAACCTCCATTGCTGCCAGAGATAATGTGGCCGTTAGCACCAGGGTGGTCCAGCCAGTGCTTTGCTCTCCTCCTTTTATACTCACTAGTTGGCACACCTCTGTCAGCTAAAATACCTCCTTTCCCCGCTTGCTACTTACGTCAGGAAGACTTAGTAGTTGTCTTATTTCTTTTTCTCAAATTGTCCAGAATTTAGCCAGAGGGAACACATGCCAGCTGATTTGTTAGGTAAATCATTGTTTGAGCAGTTCCTTGCTCTCTTTGCCCTGCCTTGATGTCAGCCGTGTCCCTGAGATCCCTTCTGAGGGACAGTGGCATTTAGAAGCCAGCGTCTGGCCAGGCGTGGTGCATTCCTATAATCCCAGCAAGAGGGAGGCTGAGGCAGGAGGATTGCCATGAGTTCAAGGCTAGCCTGGCCTACATAGCAGGACCCTGTCTCAAAAAAAAAAAGGGAAAAAGAAAGCCAGCTCTGGTTGTTCAGTGTGCTTACGGTGCAACTGCTTGTGTACCCTCATTGTGCAGACAGAGCTGTGTGTGCGTGTGCTTTATGGACTCACAGGTTGGGGCCTGTCTGTCTGCATGTGTTACAGAGTCAACCAAAAGTCACATGGGCCTGTAGTTTGGTATCCATGCCATGTGATTGGTGCTCTCCTCCCCTTTCCACATCTGTAGCTCCCTCCCTGGGTGGCGAAAACGGCTCCCATCCCCTTCCAAGCACTGCATGTGGCCCCTTGGCTGCCTACCTGACACGCTCTGAGTCGCACTGCCGCCAGCTCAGCCTGCTGAGACCCTGACCACAAAGCCCGGCCGCCAGGGCTCCTACATCAAGGCCCAGACCACACCTGTGCCTCTCCCCACAGCATCCCGAGTTCTTACCCACTGCCCCTTCCCAGCTATAGGTTCCTTCCCCGAGGCAACTATCGCAGGCCTCCCTCCAGTCCATATCTTAGTTGACCATAGCTTTTCAAGTGTATTCTTTTAGCCAAGCATGGGGGCACCTGCCTGTGATTGCAGTCCTCAGGAGGCTGAGGCAGGAGGATCGATGCAAGTTCAAGGCCTGCCTGAGCTACATAGCAAAACCCTGTCTCAAAAAAACACAAGCAAAAATAATAAAAGCAGTGGGATATGGCTCAGTGGTTAAGTGCTTGCCTGCTTAGTGTATGTGGCCATGAGTCCCACCCACTTGTAATTCCTATTCTGACAACTGTTTATTCATATGCCTCATCCTTTTTCCAGTTGTCTCTTCTCATTTGTAGGTGCTCTTTTAAATGTGATAGGGAAATGATCCTCTGTACTATAAAATGCAAATATTTTTCCTGGTTTTTCATGTAACTTCTGATGTGTATTAGTTACTTTTCTCTTATTGCTGAGTCAAAATAACCAGCACCAAAAGCTAAAGGGGAAGGGCTTTATTTGGCTTACAGTTCATAGAGATTTAAGTCCATAGTCGGCTGGCTCCAAGACAGGGATGGTAAACAGACATCACAGAGGAGAAAGAACATGGCACACACAAGGCAGCAAAGGTAACAAGAGGGACCTTCATGGAGTCTTCCTTGCCCTTTTATCTTATTCAGACTACTCAGGGCGGGCAGTACTCACGCCCTTAATCCCAGTGCCTGCGGGCCTGGCCCCACCATGAGTCAGTCACACTCATGGGAAAGCATGAGGGGTTGGACACAAGCCATAACATGATGTTTCTTTTTTTGGTACCGGGGATCAAACTCGGGACTTTGGACTTGCAAGGCAGGCGATGGAACCACTGAGCTAAATCCTGGCCCAACATGATGTTTCTTTATAATAGATTTTTCCTCACAAAAATATTTTATGTGGTTTTTTTCCCCATTTGTATGTTCTGGATTCTTGTATCTTAGTTAAAACTTTTCTATTTCAAATTTATTTTATAAATTCTCTCATGATTTATTCTGATAGTTTTGTGGTTTCATATTTTTATGTAGACATTACTGAATAATGACCATAGGGAGCTGAAGTATACAGCTCATTTGGCCCTGGGTTCAATCCCAGCACCAAAAGAAAGAATTGCCCTAAAAAAGAATCCCCAGGTAATAACAGTTTCCCATTATGAGAAATACCATGAGCTAGGCATGGTGGTGCACACTGTGACTCCAGAGGCTGAGGCAGGAGGATCACCAAGAGTTGGAGGCCAGCCTGGGCTACATAGTGAGACCCTGTCTCAAAAAACCAAACAAACAAAAAGAAATATCACCTATGTAAAAACTCTTAACACTCAGAACTTCCAAGGCCTCGCTCCTGAGCATGGTTCCCAGACTAGCAACGTACATCGTCACTGGAAGTTTGTTCTCACGCACCCCTGACTTTTTAAAAACCAGCGTGCATCTTAACAAGATCTGGTCATTTCTCCACACATGAAAATTTGAGAAATACATCTTCCAGGCAGGCTTTCAGCAACTTGTTTCCTCTAAAAGATCGGAAAAGGAAGTATTTTGGTTGTCGGCCACCTGCTCGGCTATCTCCACTGGCATCGGGAGGCCCCTGGGATTGTGCTGAAGCAGGAGCGTGGCTGCCTGGGACTGAACCTGTTTCCAGCAGTCTGGAAGGAGAACAGGAGCCAGGCTCACGGTGCTTTGTCCCTGAGGACTTTCTGTACTGCTGGACTTTTACCATCAACATGTGCTCCATAATCTGAGGTGTAAAAAAAAATGTTTTTTAAGAATAAGTTCAGGGCCAGGGATTTAGCTCAGTGGCTCTGCCGCCTGCCTTACAAGCCCAAGCTTCCAAGTTTAATCCTGGTACCAAAAACAAAACATAAAACAAAACAAAAAACATAGAGATCAATAATAAGTTCAGACAGTGGGTGTGCATATGAGAGAAAGCTCTACGAAGGCTTGGTTCTCTTAGGGTGTTTGGTGGTGAGTAACTTTGTTTTTCACTCCAAGTCTGTCACAGGAAGATAAGTAGCATCTAGGGAAATGCAAGCAGATAAGTAGGTTCGGGTGGCACAAAAGAGTTGAGAGATGGAGTCAGTGCTGGCTGAAGTGAGCCAGTCCTTCCTTCCCAGTGCCACACTGCTCAGCTGAAGTAGGAGTTGGTTCCCACTTGTTAGTGGGGTGCACACTTCTCCCACTGGCCCCCCGAGGCTGCATTCAGCGTGGAGCTCATGACAGGCGCCTGGTGGGTTTTTGTTAATGGGTCATGTGCGGGAGCTGCTGTTAAATGTTGCATGAGCCGGGCTGGCCCCGTTGGTAGCTTAGGTGGCCCTGGCAGGTGAAGTTCTAGCGTGGAAACTGGCCATCAGCAAGGGCTACAAGTCGCTGTCCTACTGCAGAGCAAGCCATCAGCGCGCTGCCAAGCGCAGACAGGAAGGGAGGAAGGAACAGAGGATCTGAGAGGGAGAGGAGCCTTGAGACTTGTTCCCCATGAGGAGGCAGTGGTGAGCAGTGGAGAGCTGCAGTCGTGGGCTGCGGTAGGCCTTTCTGGAAGCCTTCTCACATGCCCTTTAGCCTTTCCGAGACGAGCACTGCTGTTTCCACCACTCGTCTGCAGGTAGCTGTGACTGAACCCACAGCACCAAGAGCTGGCATGTCACCTGGGCTTGTTCACCTCAGGAGCTCGAGCTGCCACGCTGAGATTGATCTTGGTGTTGCCACCAGCTGTCTTCCTACAGACAGCACACTGCAGCCATCTTTCTAACATTTACCTTCCTTTTTTAATTCAAAAGAGAAACTGTAACTGTCTTGTATTTTGAAAGGTAAAAATCTAGCAGGGTGTGGTGGTGCACACCTATAATCCCAGCACTTGAGAGGCAGGAGGTTCCCCATGAGTTCGAGGCCAGCCTGGGCTACATATGAGATCCTGTCTCAAACCTACCTCCAAATCTGTAAGTTTAAATAGAGATAATGAATAATGATGAAAGAAAGCTAGACATAAGACTAATCCTGTAATTAAGTACCAAACTTGAATTTTAGTGAAGTAATCACAGTTAAACTCACTTGGTTGATCTTTTCAAGATATTTACTTAAGGAGGGGCCAGGGATTTAGCTCAGTGGTTTGGCCGCCTGCTGTGCAAGCACAAGGACCCGAGGTACCAAAAAAAAAAAACCTCAATCAAGATAATTACTTAAGGAAATCCATTTCCAGTTCTAACTTCTAAGTTACAGTAGCATATGTGTAAGACAGGAGTTGGTTTTCCTGTGAGGAAGAGTGGTGATCTATTTAAGATTGTTTCTATGCTCTGAACAAAATATTTTGTTCCACAGCTATAGAGTAGTGCATTCCAGATACTGTGGTAAGGTCAGGGGGAAAAACCAGTTCCTCTCCTCTAAGAATTTAGTTTGACTTAAATTGTGAATCTGCTGGTGCTACTGCTGACTTTCATATCCTGTGTGTGTCTCTGCCTGCCTGCCAGCCTCTGTGTGTGTATTTGTGTGCATGCCTGTGGTACTAGAATTAACCCCAGGGCCTTTGCACTGAGCCACATCCCCAGCCCGTTTTATTTTTTTAGTTTGGGACAGGTTTTCTCTAAGTTGATAAGTTGCCCAGGCTGGCCTCAAATTTGAGAACCTCCTGCCTCAGGCTCCCAAGTGCTGGGACTACACATGTATGCCACCACACCTGGCTAACTGTAGTACTTTTAATTTTTATAAGTTATCAGAACAAATTGGCCTGTATAACTGACAAAGTATTAGTGGCAAGGATATTATTATTAGACAGTCACTCATTCCTATGTGGCCGATTTCTCATCTTTATCCTGATCCCCATTTACTTTTGAAGGCAAGCCTGAAACAGCATGTGAAAATCCACACTGTGCCACAGCACCTCTGATGGAGCCCACTCTGCACATCGTGGACAAAGATCCAATCCCGGAGGAGCAGGTAAGGGGAAGGGGCTTTGTCTTCCTCCCCGAAAGAAATCTCACATGCACCGCTTACCTATCCTTCTTTTAAGAGGCACAGATAATTGTTGATAACTTGTTGAATTTGTTTCTACTGAGCTTCAGAAGTTTGTATCAAACCACAGCTCTTAGTGTCTTGGATCTGAGTTTACCTACCAGACACATCATCGGGTTTTGTTATTTCTAATTGTCCATGTTTTAGAGGCCTTTAACAGTGATTAAACACAGGCCAGGCGTGGTGCCCCACACCTGCAATCCCGGGTCTCAGGAGGCTGAGGCAGGAGGATCACTGAAAGTTTGAGGCCAGCCTGGATGAACCTAGTAAGACCCTGTCTCAAAACAGAACCAAAAGAAGTGATTAAATATAACAAAGATTAGTATATCCGCAGAGGTTCTTCTGGGGTGCTGAAAGGTCTTGGTCTTGGTCTTAGTGGTGGTTCCCATTATGAATATATACGTAAAACTCTTGCCTGCTTAGTATTTGTGTCCTTGACCTCAGTGAGCTGGGCATGGTAGCACACACCTGTAATCCCAGCACTCTGGAGGCTGAGACAGGAGGATCACCATGAGTTTGAGGCCAGTCTGAACTGCATAGCTAGACCCTGTCTCAAAAAAAAAAAAAAAAATTGGGCCGGGGATTTAGCTCAGTGGTTTGGCTGCCTGCTGCGCAAGCGCGAGGATCCAAGTTCAATCCCTGGTACCAAAAAAAAATTATACTTCACTTTAAAAAACAAATTCTGGTGATTGCATTAGACATTGACAAAGATGCCTTTTGCTGGTCTAAAAAAAACTCTTTCCTTGCAGCATATGATCTACTCAGTATTCCAAGCTGCAAATGGAAACTGATCCTAGGTTAGTATAACAGACATAATTTATTTAAAGCTGTGAAATAGCTTACAGCACACTTCAGAGCGCCAGATGAGCAGGCTTGCCCCTGCCTGGGCTTGCCAGCTGCAGTGGCTCCGAGGGCTGTTCCAGGGGAGACCTTGCTGAGTCCCGGACAGGGCCTTGCCCAGCCCCTGCAGTGCTGTGCAGTAAACCTGCTTCAGAGCCGCCCCACCCACACCGTACCTAGGACGGATCCTGGGAGGCGTCTGCTCTTGTCTGGAGGGAGTCGGTGGCCGGCCCCCGAACCTTACTGCCTGAGTGCTGGGTAGCCCGCAAGTATCCTCCCCGTGTCCCAGAGGGAAGCAGGACATGAAGTATCCTCTCATCCCAGCAGGCGTCAAACTTCCGCAAAGTTAGGGGAACCAAAATAGCTGCCACAGCCCAGCCCGGGCATCTTAGCGAGGTCCTTGCTCAGAATGGAAGAGGACAGGATGTGGCACAGGGCAGAGGCCCTCAGTTCAGTCCCAGTACCTCAAATAGGAAAATTGCCAGGCCTGTGCTTTTGTGCAGTTTTGGTGTACCAGTCACCACTGTGTTAACCAGAAGACACAGTGTGGCGTGGGATTGGATGAATAGCCCGGGAAACTGTTCGGCTTTTTCACCCATGCTTTTTAGTATGAAGTTGGAGGTTTTTTGGAGAACTTGAGGTATCTCTAGACGCCTTCCACCTAGCTGTGCTTACCCCGGCCTGGTGTCGGCAGCGGCTCATCCCCAGGCCAGAGCTGGGCGGCTTCGAGTAAGTGGGAGCTCCTGGAACACCGAGTGCTGAGGTCTAATGCTGGTTCTTCTGTTCACTTCCAGGAATTAGAAGCTTACGTGGATGATATAGATATGGACAGTGATTTGCGGAAGGATGATTTTTTTTACTTGTCTCAAGAAGACAGAGAGAGACAGAAGCGGGAGCAGGAAGAGTCCAAGCGGGTCCTGCAGGAGCTGAAGTCCGTGCTGGGCTTCAAAGCCTCTGAGGCAGAGAGGCAGAAGTGGAAGCAGCTCCTGTTTAGCGAGCACGGTAAGCACTGGCTTCAGAGTAGAAGCTTATTTCCCTATAGAGACCCTTCCATTCCTGCACCGGGAATCTTGTCACTACAGAATTCTTAAGGTGTTCATTTGAGGGATCCACTGGTGAGCACTTAGTCCACCAGCACTTTCTCACCAAGCACTGACAGCACCTCTATCTTCACACCCAGTTTGGCTCCCTCCTTATGTCATTAGCCACCTATCATAAGAATCCACGATTCTCAGTTACATTTTCCACCATCCCCATGGCAGGAAACTTCCTTGACTTAGGCTATTCTAATGAGACTCCAGTTCCACACACTCCCTGCTTTTATTCATGAAGAAAACTCATGCTGATCCCTTTCCCACACTGGCCTCTCCCAGCCTGCAGGCCCTGGCCCTGGGTAGGCATCGTGATGAGATGGTGGGATGGAAAGGAAGCTTTGAGCAGGAGGCAGACAGCTGGGCCGTGATGAAGCAGCAATAAAGATCAGGCTCCTGTTGTCTGCACGTTTACCTGTTGGCCTACATAAGTTAGAAGTGATGGCATTGGGTTTTAGGTTAGGCATTATTGTTTTCTGTGCATTCATCTTGTTTTTGTGTGTTTTTGTGGTACTGGGGATTGAACCCAGAGCCTTCACACTGAGCTATATCCTCAGGCCATTTTATTTTACTTATTTTATTTTTAATTTTCAAACAGGATCTTGGTAAATCACTAAGTTGCCCAGACGGGGCTCAAACTTGGCAATCCTCCTGCCTCAGCCTTCCAGAATCCAGGCATTACAGGTGTGCCCCACCATCCCTGGCTTGAGTTCGGTTTTCCATCTCTGTGACTAAATTACAGTCTTCTTAACTAGGGGTTTTATTATTCCACACGGCATTTATTCAGCAAGTAGTTACTGAGAACCCGTTATGTGCACACCTGCCACTATGCGCCTAGCACACAGATGGAGAGACACAATCCCTGCTCCGGGGCTTCTCCTCCTGGCCTGGTCCACCCCTTACACGGTTCTATTCTCCCCTGCAACTAGCAACAATCATGAGTATCAGTCAACTCCGCATTGTACATTTGGTAAGAACTAGTAGATTTATAAACTGAAGACATGCCTGAGTCCTGAAAATAGCCCTGTGTCTTTCATTGCTCAGTATTTCCTTCATAGCCTTAGAATACCTGTTGACCTTACGGCACACCAGCACCGAGCCTCGTGTTCAGGCGTGTGCTTTGGACACAGTTTAGGGTGGTGCTGTGTAGCTGCCGCTAGCATAAACTGCCAATTCCAGCCCATCCTCTAGAGCGGTTTCCGTCTCTGCCTACAGGGGTGAATTGCGAGTGGAATTAGAGAGGGACTGCACTGGAGCCTGCGTGGCCACTCTTTCTATGTTGCTGCTGCTCCAGTGGAGTGACCGCAGCATGGGGACGGCTCTTGGAAACCCACACGTTTTACAAAACAATTTCTAAATACACGCCAGCTCTTCAAGAAGCACTCTTCCTCCCATCCTGCTTCATAACGTGTTGTGCTGTACTAACCCTCGCACTGGGAGGAGAGGCCGCCCGGCCAGCGACCCACTGCCTACTAACACCGAGAGGGCCTAAGTCACCTCATTTCCTTGCAAGGACGACGGGCACCATGCGGACGTGAGGGTCGTGTCTACTACTCTGCCTGGTGCGCTAGTCGGTCTCGAATGCACACCGGTGTCATTTGTGTCTTCCTGTGCCACAGCTCCACTCCCAGGGGGTCTCGTGGGTGGTCAGCAGGCCGGTGGGATTGGATGTCACACTTCTGTTAGCTTGTACACACATCCGCTTGTATGTTGAAGATGTGAAGATTTGGATCACCTTAGCCATTTTACCGATAACATTTTAAGTGAAAGCCATGCTGCTTATTCTTTCCTGACAATCATTGTCAAACTTTATGTGCATCCGAACCAAGAAGAGGGCCTGTAAAATGCAGCTGAGATTTGTGTTTGTAAGGAATTTGTAGGTGATAACTGAGCGTGTTGTTCAGGGACCGCACTTTAGTGACCACTGCTTTTGAGTAAGAAAGTAGCATTATATTACAATGATTTCACCAGAAAGCTTTATTGAGATTTCCTTTATTTATTCATTTATCATTCTTTTTAAAAAGAAAGCTACTGGGAGTTTAAATTAAAATTGAAATCATTGCTGAGTCCTTAGTTATTATTTTTCTTTTTTCTTTTCTTTCCATTTTCTGTTTCTTTCTTTAAAGCTGTGTTGAAACCCTTGTGTCCTGTAGACCCAGTGGAAGCCCTAAGTAACTCAGAGCCACCAGTGAGTTCAGATTTGGGAAAAGTCAGTCAAAATGATGCCGAAGTGGAAACTAGTAAGCCCTCCGTCCCCTACAGTGCACTAAGTAGGACTGAGCTCGAGTGCAGGACCCCCGCGGAGCAGGAGAGCCCGGCCAGTCCTGCCGGCGAGGTCCCCCCGGAAGGAGTGGAAGAGAGAGTGCCCCCTCAGTGCGCCAGCGAGGCCGAAGCGCAGCCAGTGGCCCCACGCACCCTGCGGCAGCGACAGCGACTCGCTCAGCTGCAGCTATCCCCCGAGTTCACCTTCACTGCCGGCCTCGCGGCAGAGGTGGCCGCCCGGTCTCTGTCCTTCACCACCATGCAGGAGCAGACTTTCGGCGATGAGAATGAGGAACAGCTGATGGAGGAAAACCAGGAAGAGCTGGAAGGACAGCAGGAGCCCGGGTGCACTTGAAGCCAGCTGAGATGGTTCCTTCCCAGTGTTCTGGCTCCGAGACTGGAAAGGGGCGTGAGTGAGTTTGCTCTATGCAGGCTTTCGGTGTGAATTTGCAGGAAGAACCCTGGTGTGAACAGCTGGCCTGAGATTAGTAGTTACCTGTAAATGACAAATCTTGTAGGAGAATCAGAAAAAGGTAAGGGCTCCTTTGCATAAACTGGTATTTTATTGTGGCACAGCTGATAATCTTGGTAACCCTGTCGGTACTTTTAATAAGGAATGAATTTACCATTTCTTGGCAGGTCTCACTGTTCTGAGTGACCAGGACAATGCTCTGGCAAGAGCATGACCGTTTAGTATGACTCCTCTGTACTGTTCCCTTGCAGTTAAGAACTTGTAGCTATTATGTTCTCGAGTTGTTTGTATCTAATTTTTTGTTTATACCAGTCTTCAAGCAAGACACGGGCTCTGAATAAAAAAATGAATTCCTATAATTGATGTGTGCTGGGATTTGGAACTTGGAGGTAGTTTCACGTATTTGGGTTGTGACACATGTCCCGTGTTCACCTGGTCACATGTGAATTCCGGCTCCTTCTGAGGTCCTAACAATCTGTAAAAGAAAACAGTGTGGACTGGGGATTTAGCTCAGTGGTTCTGCCACGCACAAGGACCCGAGTTCTATCCCCAGTAGTGAAAGAAAACTGTACTACATTGAGAAATATCCTTTCAGTTATTTTTTGTCACTTCTTCTGTCCCTGTTACAAGAGATGACATGAAAGTGAGACCCTGGTGGCCAAAGACCCACTTCACCTTAGCAGATTTTTTTTGGTTTTGTTTTTTGAGACAGGGTCTTGCTATGCAGTTCAGGCTGGCCTCAACTCCTGCCTCAGCCTCCAGAGTGCTGGGATTACAGGTGTGCATCACCACACCTGGCTAGCAGATTGGACTTTGTATCAGTTTGCCTAGGGTTAAATGTGTGCTATTACTGGAGCCTTTCTAGCCCTCCCACCTTAGCCTCAGGAAACCTCCCGACAGCTTTGTGGAAGGCACCCCGTCTCCTTAGTAGTCCATTTACAAACTACCTCTTAGAGGAGCTGCTTTCCACCTCAGCGGTCTCCTCACCAGTGTCGGGCCTGCATTTTCAGAGGGACATTTACAGGCGTCTCCTGCCTCTGAGACCTGTCACTCCTGCACATGAAGTACTTGTGGACGTTACTGGGACAGTGTAGGAGTGACTCACTTGCTGCTGCTGTCCTACAGAGGAAACACCATGATGAATCTGCATCAGCCCTAGATTAAGAAATATCCCAATGCCCGAAACTTAGCACTTTTGTGAGTAAATTTACTTACATCGAAGACATTTTTTTAAGAGCTATTTTTTATCCTGAGAAAAAACTTGGTTCTGCTTTATATAAATAGTAGAGATCCTTGAACCATAAATGATTTGCCTTTTGCTCAAATTCTAGGAGTTAACATAATTACCCTTTTAAACAATACCTTAGGTTGCACCTTTTTCAAAGAAAAAGAATCTTCTTGTGTTATAACTGATTTCTGTATTCCTAAATAATAATACTTAGGGTCTTCTTTCTCACTTAAATTACTTAGCTTGCCAACTTCATTTTTCCTTGGATTTAGAAGAAATTATGGAAAAATGTAATCATCTCTCTCTAACCTATAACCTTACAGGAAGAATTAGAATTTAATAATTTTTTATTCCTTCATTATATTTTGTTTCTATTATGCCAGTTTGGGGAAAATATCTCCATACAGTGTGTCAGTTTTATACTGTCTCCCTAAGCTGATTCTAAAGTATTTCCAAGACAAAATACTATCTTCTCTGTGAAAATTCCTTGACTAATTTTTTCTTATTATATTCTGTCATTGTTTCTCAATTGTTTTAGTGGGGTACCTGCATCAGAAAAAACTAATGATCTTATTTTTTTTAATGCAGATTATAAGCTATTCTCTCTGTAATTCTTTAGAATGAGACTTAGCTAATGTTTATGCCCAATAAAATCTAAGAATCTCTGTCTAGCACTTTGTTCTTGCCACAGAAACCTTAGAAATAAACGCTAACCAACAGGCCAGTGTCATGTAAGTAGGTGTTAGTGTTCACTACTTTTCTAAGAATGCTTACTTTTTCCTATAAGGACTGACTAGTTTTAATAGCTGCCATTCTACATCCAGAAGAAGCACTCCCAGAAAACATTTTGTAAGGAAAACTTAGAGTTGTACTTTGCAGATTTCACACTATTGTTTTCACAGTTTTTTTGTTTGGTTGGTTGGCTGGGGTTTTTTGGTAACAGGGATCGAACTCAGGATCTTGCACTTGTGATGCAGGTGCAGCGCCACTGAGCTAAATCCCCAGCCCTTGACAGTTTAATTCTTGACAGCTTTTGATACAGACATTGCTGCTACAGTTTGTTTTCCAGGACCAATGTAATTCTCCAGGAAAGGATGCCGTGAGCGGCCCCTGGGTCACTGTGGAGGACAGGACTCAGGCTCTTTGCCAACCTAGGACAGGGAGGCACAGTGGCCAGGCGCCTGACATCACGCCCATGATCCCTTTGTCAGCTTCCGCCAAAGCCTTCCCAGCTCTTGCCTGTCTTGATTTTCAGTCCTCTGCTTATTGTAGCACAGGCCCTCCTTAAAAGTGCAGTAATTGTGCTCAGAATCTGAGCGTGCATGCGTTAACGCATGTTTGCATTCCTAAGTTACTAGAGACAAGTCCAGGGGAAAATACTCAGGATGTTTCAGAATGAGTTTTAGGCTTTCCTACAGAGATATAGGCTAGAGTTTAAATCTCTCCTTCATTCAACCACCTTAACACAAATTCTCTGAATTGCTAAATGACATTTTCTCATTCTTCTCAGAAGAGGTTAAAAAGCAAATAAAACTTCAGGCTGAAAAGCAAGACCCAGTTATAAATATGTCAGACTGGAGCAGCCCAGCTAAATTACTGTGGAGCTAAAGTAGATATCATGCTACAAATAAAGATTAACTTTATTTTGCTGGTTTTATTTCTAGAAACCTGCAGTTTGTGCTTAGATTAAAACAGGAAGGTGCAAATAGTTTAGGAGAGAAAATACAAGGAAAATGCCTAACCGTTCATTCATCTGTCGTTAACAGGTGATTGACTTGAATCAGTTAACTTTGCAGGTAGCTAAGGGAAACCCACTTAATCATTCAGACTCACAGCTTAATAGCTAACTGTACTTTCTACTTCCCGACCTCTCCTAGAGTCATAGACTATGATCCCTTTGCTTTGGTGTCTTCAAGAGCCCCTGTCCCTGTCCCTGGGTGATGACTGACTGGGTGACCACTGAGCCATCTTGCTCTGTGGTGCTCCCTTCCTGCTGTAGCTTCACACTGCTGTGCTTTTGAGCTGCCTCTGTTTCTCACCATTTCTGTATCTTCCTTATCATCAGCTGTCATTTGCCGCTGTCTTGTGTGCCTGCCTCCTGCAGTAGGTCCCTCATTTGCTGCTTCTAATCTGCCACGGACTGAAAACCCAGACTGCCAAGCTTGCTAGAATTGTGTCTAAAAGAAGAGTAAGTAACTGGAACAGGCTGAGTGCTTTTCCGGTAGTGAAATGCATGGACTCCATGTTCGCCGTGGCTGCTAACATTCCTTCGTTTACCTTAAGAACTGCTAAAAGTACTTGCCCAAATATATTACTGCTGTCTGTGTATTTGACTGACTAATTCATTTTTTTGTTGGTTTGTTTGTTTTGGTTTTGGTACCAGGGGTCGAACTCGGGACCTTATGCTTGTGAGGCAGGCAGCGGAACCACTGATCTAAATCCCAGCTTAATTCATTTTTATATATTGATGTTTCCAGGACTCTCCACTAATGAATTCAACTGTAAAGGGACATTTGACTGTCATCTTTGTATAAATCATTGTGTATGTTTCAGGAAAGTGTTACATATTTTGTTCTTGTTGATCGTTCTTAGTTCAGTGTATCAGTATAAAACTTAGGGGATTATTACTGTGACTTCAGCTCTGCTCACCAAACTCATATTCTAAAGACTAAATGTGGCCAGGTTAGGAAGAACTGGCTAGCCTGACTGTGTATGAGGAACGAATAGTGTGTTATCGGGAATGGTCATGCTGGACAGCCCCGTTTTCTACTGAATGAGAGCTTCTTCCATTGTTCGCATGTTTTGGAATAACTTTTGAAGATATCTTTGCAAAACCCATGAGCACTGCTGTCTTGAACAGTGTATAAGTCCACTCTAATATTTTTATATTAAAATGGCCATTATGAACATTAGTTACACCCTGGTGGACAGAACACTGAGAACCATTTCTCCCTGTACCAAATGACTCTGTGGCTGTGCTTGCTTAGGTTTTCATGTCTATGTTTTGGAGAGTTGTTCTGATTCCCCTGTTTATGTCCCTGGTTGCTCAAGTGTGCCTGTGGCAGCAGCCTTTCTCCACCTGCTTAATGCACCTCCTGAGCTGCCCTGGTTTTGAACAGCAAGCAACAAAGCTGGTTAGAACTGTGTGTATACTAAGAGTAAGCAGGCACAGTGAAGACCAGAAGTGGATTGTGCATAAGTGCATGGACTTTATGGCAGCTCTTAGTCACTGCCTGTAAAGTTGGGCTCTTTAATCCAGTGAGGTTCCTGGATTCAATGCCTGCTCTCAAAATACGAGAGTTGTTACTGTGCAAAAGGGTCCATTTTATTTTCGTACCTTCTCTAAAGTTAGTTCCCACTGTAATGTTGGCTGTGATTAAAACCAGTCCATTCCAGTTAACATTTTCTATGGTATTTTCTATTTAGATTGGAAAACAGATGCTGTTAAAATGTATTTGGCTTTTCTTTTTCTTAACACAAAGGCATCTTCATCTCCAAGACACAGAGTAGATTAGGCCCTGAAAAAATAAAACATTTGGTATTGATATCTCAGAGATCTGAGAATAAGATTTGTAGGCTCTGGGCGATCATACCACTAAGAATTTATTCTTTTTTTTTTTGGTACGGGGGATCGAACTCGGGAACTTGCGCTTGCGAGGCAGGCGCCAGAACCACTGAGCTAAATCCCTGGCCCAAGAATTTATTCTTTGATATGCTACTTTTTCAGGTAATTTTATTTTCATTCAGCTAAAGGAAATATATGTTAAAAGCTTACCAAAAGTTATCATTGTTCAATCTAATGACATTAGATGGTGATAGATATTTGAATGATTAAATTCCCCCATCATTCTATATTTGGTGTGTGTAAATTACCATTTAAAATGTGAAACAATCAAGCAGATAACTTTTCTTCATTCGCTTTTTTGTTTTAATTTTTTTAGACAGGGTCTCACTATGTAGTTCAGCCTGGGCTTGAACTCACTAAGTACCCCAGGCTGACTTCCAAACTCATGGTGATCTTCCTGCCTCAGGCTCCTTGGTACTAAGATAACAGGCCTGGGCCGCCACACCCAGCTCAAACCAGTTTCTAGATGCTGCCATTACAGAAGAAATAGTCACAAAGCTAAGCCTGGGTTGGTGCTATGAGGAGAAAGCTTCTCATGAGAGCAAAGTGATTCTACCCAGCGTCATCCTAGGAACCAAGAAGATGAACTGACTCCAGGGTCGCACATGCATGTTTAGCAGGAATCAGGAGGGATTGGTTTTATGTGTTTCTTCAAACATGGGATCAATTAAAATGCATGGCAGCTTTTAAATGCTCCACGTTTTAATTTATCTTAGCCTATCAACAAACTGGTTTTGCCAGGGATTTAGCTCAGTGGTTCTGCTGCCTGCCTCACAAGCGAAAGGTCCTGAGTTCGATCCCTGGTACCCCCCCAAAAAAAACAAACAAACAAACTGGTTTTATCCACACTTACTGGCCATGTTACTATGATAGAGTGGAATCTAAACTGTGGATACTTCTAATTCTTCTCAAGATGAGTACAGCCTGTGAGATCTGGTTGTAGAAATAGATATTTCCTGCCTGCCTCAGAAGTGCAAGGCCCCCAAGTTTGATCTCTGGCACCAAAAAAAAAAAGAAAAAAATATATATTTCCTCTCAGGTTTCTATTTTAAGTGTTTCTTAAAGTAAGGGATAATTTTACTGATTTAGGGTATTTTTCAGTTTTCCTGGGTGTTATGGCACACCCCTTAATCCCAGCAGTTGGGAGGCTGAGGCGGGAGGACTGCCATGTATTTGAGACCAGCCTGGGCCCCATAGTGAGTTCAAGACCAGCCTGGACGACACAATGAGACCCTGTCTCCAAAAAAAAAAAAAAGTTTCCTAAAAGTGGAACTTTTTTCTAAAACTAAAGCATGTCTTTTACAAATTTACTCTTTTATAACATCCTAAACACTGACCTGTCCCTCGCTGTCCTTCCCAGTTAAATCTTAAGGAAGCTGACTGCATTTCTGAATCAGAGTATGTTCTGTATTTTATCTGCCGTGGTAAGATTTCTTCCGTTCACGCCGGGTCTTGTGGCCGGCGCCAGTGTGACACGGTGCCGTCCTGGAAAGGTAGATCCAGTGGAGCCCGGAGGTCATAGGTGAGAATCCAGAAGCCGGCCTGAGCTGTGAGCGCCCCGGAGGACTTGGTTTTGTTTGGGTTTGTTCTAGGTATGGTCCCAGGGATCCCAGATCCAACCAGGCCCCTGGGCCTATCCTAGAACCAACCTAAGCCCGTGCATCTCTCCAGACGCCAGGAGCTCGAAGACCGAAGACGCTGCGTGCACCACGCCGTCCCCTGCGCCCCCGACTCCTGAAGTCACGGGTGACCGGCGGGGCCAGCGGCTCCCAGACTGCGATGCCGAATGGAAACTGTGCTTACTGGTAATCGCCAGTGGGGAGAATTCTTGCGATCTTTATTCTCAGGTCATAAAACAGATTAAAATGTCTGTTTTTAGGGCCAGAGATTTAGCTCCGTGGTTCCACCGCCTGCCTCGAAAGCACAAGGTCCCGAGTTCGATCCCGGTAACAACAACAACAACAAAAAGTCTGTTTTTAGCAGAAGCGACTTAGCCGCAAAAACAAAAAGGCGAGCCCTGCGCCCCAGTAACCTCCTCCAAATGAATGGTTGTGTTTTCCTAGACGCTTCCTCCCGCAGCCCGGCCTCTGGCCCCTTTACTGAAGGGCACCTGCACCGGGCAGTGGGAGCTAGTACCGGGCAGCCAGCCCTCACCTGAACCTGGGCCCGGCCCCCTGGAGAGCTGCTGCAGTCATGAGATGAGCAGGAGACCGACGAGCCAACGCCGTGCACCCGGCCGACTATGGGGCCGTGCAGAACAGTTTATTTTTGTCCCTTGCTGTTGTAGATTTTTAAACTCTTCTGACTTAGGAAGTTCTGCCTCTGGCCCCTCGCTGTGGCGCTGCCTGTGTAATTGGAAGGCCGGGCCGGGAGGGCGGGCCGCGCACCTGGCAGTGTACTCTTTGGGTCCCTTCGGGCGTCTCTGGAATTACTGCCGCACCACAGTCCCCCACAGACTTACTGTTGCCCTTTAGTCCGAGGTTTGCCGCCCTTCTCTCCACATTTTCTGCAGTGTTTTCCCGTGTACTCGTCTGGGAGCATAGTGGGCTGTGTGGACAGCCTGGGGTGAATGTGAGCCGTGGGTTTACCTAGGACAGCTGTTGTCTAACAGTGTGAGAGGCCTTTCCACCCCCCCCACCCCCCCAAAATCGGGATTGAACCTAAGGCTTTGCATGGAGCTACATCCCCAGTCCTTTTTTTATTTTTGAGACAGGATCTCACTGCATTGCCCAGGCTGGACTGGAACTTGTGATCCTCCCGCCTCAGCCTCCTACAGCACAGCGCAGGATTGCAGGTTTGCACCACCACACCCAGTTACACTGGTTTGTTTCTTTTGTTTCTTTTTCTTTTTTTTTTTTTTTTGATACTGGGGATCAAACTCGGGAGCTTGTGCTTGTGAGGCAGGTCCCAGAACCACTGAGCTAAATCCCTGGCCAACTGGTTTGTTTCTTTGTTTTGGTACCGGGGGTCGAACTCAGGTCCTTGCAGCGGAACCACTGAGCTAAATCCCCAGCCTCCCTGGTTTTTGTTGTTGTTGTTGTTGTTGTTTTGGAGACAGGATTTCACTATATATCCCAAGGTGGCTTGGAACTCAGTGATCCTCCTGCCTCAGCTTCCCAAGTGTTGGAATTACAGGCGTGGGCCACCACACTCAATTATGAACACTGAACATGGGAATGGGAGGGCAGCTCAGTGGTACAACACCTGCATACTGTGCAAAGGCCCTGGGTTTAATCCACATCACCACCAAAAATTAATAAAATTATATGTATATATATATATATATATATATATATATATATATATACACACACATACAGAATTGGAGAATATTCTTTGAGAGACATTTTGGTTCTTACTTTTTGGTCACTTGTGCTTTGTGTATCAGAACTATGTTTTTCCGAACTCTACCTAAAGACTTGAGATTATAATCTTTAGGGGTTATGAAAACACCATAAAAGCTGACCATTTTTAAGGGCACAGTTTAAAAGTGTAAATATTCATGTCCACACGGTAGTGAAGCTGCTCTGGAACTTTGTCACTCTGTGAGTCTGAAACTCAGCCCCTTTTCTTCCCCACCCCGTGGCGCTTCCTGTCGCGTCCCCAGTGGGGAGCCCGGGGCGGCTCCCTCGCTCCCTGCGGCCCCTGATCCTTTCCCTGCTGGCATTCAGGGGCCGCTGCCTGGATGCAGGTGTCTGATTTTAAACGCAGGCCTTGACTCTTATTTTGTCACATCAACTTTGGCCCAGCTATTTTAAAAGAATGGCCAAGGAGCCAACGGCAGGTTATATGTGGCTGTGCTGTGTCACTGTCCCTTCCTGATAAAGAAATCACTAATAAAAGCTGCCTCCTCATACCTTCTGTGTATGTTCCTTTTTTTCCCTGATGTTTGCAACATGATTAACGGCAAAAAGGAAAAACCCTTTTTCTCTTGCTTCTCTTTCTCTCCCATTATGGTCTTTTCAGATATATATGTATTTAAAGAAAGCCAGGTGCCGGTTGTGGCGCACGCCTGTGATTCCAGCACTTGGAGGCTGAAGCAGGAGGGTCGCTGTCTCAAAAATAAAAATTAAATATTTTAAAAGAAAGATGGCAGCCGTCCAGGAAAGCCTTTATTTCATTAGCCCAAATTTTATTCTCTTCTGTGCCGTGCATGGCTTCTCAGATGAAGCCTGTTTAGCCTCACAGGGCACGGTGGGGCCTTCGCAGGTACCCACTGACGGACCGCCCTGCAGAGAAACCTGCTGCCGCAGGAGGGCGCTCTGTCCTGCACACCCCGCTTCCGCGCCTCCCTGTAGCCGCGTGAACACCACGGGAGCCCCCGTAGCCCCCGGCCGGCTGCTGGCCTTCGTGAAGGTGGCCTTAGACTGAACTTTAAGCCAGAAAAGATCTGATCCCAGGAGTAAATATCCAGAAGGCCGGAGTTTGAAACGTAGCCTTTGTGTGGTATTTGCGGATTAAAAGTGAAAGCCAGGGAACCTGGGATTTAGCTCAGGGGTGCCGGCGCCTGCCTCGAAAGCGCAAGGTCCCGAGTTCGATCACCGGGATGGATGGATGGAAGGGAGAGAGCGGGACGTGTGCAGTGACCCTACCTGATTCTGAAGTCGCTGGGGAGGAAGAGCCCCATGAGGTAATCGTTCCTCGACTTCATGATTTGCTTCTGAAGGTCTCTAGCGGAAGTGCTGTGGCCATTGAAAACAAAGTTGGCAAGTAGTAATTTTCCCCGAATGTACATCTGGAAAAAGTCAATAAAACTTAAGAATCTGATCCTAAAAAGCAGTCCCGTTTAGTCTGGGGTTGGGCTGTGTCCCCAGGAGAACAGTCCACGTGTCCTGCAGCCCCGCGTGTCCTCCGCGGACGCAGCTCTGCCTTTTCTCACCCTGCCGCCTCCACACCTCGCGTTTCCCCGCACCCTGGGGGACGTCAGCGCTAAGTCCTCCTCCTCCAAAGCCCAGGCCGCTCCACTAATCGCACCGAGGCAGTGTATTCTTCAATAAGAATCCCCGATCAGGGTTTGCTGCGGATGTGGGCACACAGGCCTGAATCCCAGCACTCCGGGAGGCTGGGGCAGGAGAATTTCAAGTTCAAGGCCAGCCTGGGCAAATCAGCAACCTGCTGAGACCCCATCTCAGAGGAGAAAGTTCAATTCTTACACTTCATGGAAGAAATCTCCCAAAATCAGAAGTGAGTTTTGGTGTATTACATGGGCAGACCCCTTGTTTAGGGGAAAACAAACAAAAACAGCACAGAGTAGCTGGTGACAAATAACCAGATAATGACTTGCTCCTAATAGGCGGCCTGATTCCATGACTGAGCACGACAGTTTCAAGGATGGAGAAATCAGACTGGAGAAAAAGGAAAATCTGACACCAAATTTCAGTTAAGGAAGGACTGCTTGAAATCTAGGGTATGAATCGAATGTCCTTCTGGAATAATTACCCAAATATGTTAACATACGTTGAATTATTTTCAGGATTGGACTTCACCGATATATTAGGAAAGCTCACGCTAAGCTACTGGCACATAGGATTTTTTTCTTTCCCATGAGTTAGTATGTTCAATTTCATACTAAGCTCAAAGTTCGTATGTGACATACATACATGCTTATCACTATTTTTTTTTTTGCAGGGAGAACCAGGGATCGAACTCGGGTCCTTGCACTTTCGAGGCAGGCGGTGGAACCACTGAGCTAAATCCCCGGCCCTATCACTATTCTTTTATTACTGAAATATTTAAAACAGTTCTTGAAAGTTCGTATCATTTTTTAGATGAAATCCCTGTCATTGGGACCATATGACTGACTCTATTATACGGAACAAAAAAATGTAAGCGGATATTACAATTTACTGAATAGTCAACATTAAATTAATAGGCCATGCTCCTTGAAAAAAAATATCTAAAAATATGCCTTCATTAATCAGGGCCTGTACTGAATTAGAATTTTAAGGAATCATATACCTAAAGAGAAATTTATAGCAACTATATTTCTATATAAGAAACTGTACTCCAGCAAAATTTACCATCCCAACTACCTGTCATCAGAGGGGGCATATTTGACTAGAATTTAACAACCCTAACTTCTGGTGTTGCCTAAAAGTCAGACAGAAAGTGAGTGGTCTTCTATTTTATATCATCCTCAGTGGAAACTGGAATAATCCCCATGAAGGCCAGAGCAAGGCCAAAGTAAGACACCAAGGAGAATCTCCTTTGAAGTATTCTTTTTGTTTCTTTTCTTTTTTCTTTTTCTGAGACAAGGTCTCTTTATGTAGCCCAGGCTGGCCTTGAACTCGCAGAGATTCTCCAGCCTCAGCCTCCCAATTGCTGGGATTGCACACATGCACCATCCTGACGGGCAAATTAATTTTATCGTTTTTGGTTTTTTTTAAACTTGTTTGTTGGTGGAGCTGGGATCAAACTCAAGGCCTCATGGACACCAGGGAAGCACTCTACCACTACATCCCCACCCTGATTTCATTTTTCACAGTTTGGAGACAGAGTCTCACCAAGGTGCCCAGGCTGGCCTCAAGGTTGCAATCATCCTGCCTCAGCCTCCCGAGTAGCTGAGCTCACAGGTGAGCCCACCACATCTGGTTTCTGGCACTTAAACTGAGCATCCTGTCTTAATCTTCCAACCAGAGCCCTGCATCAGCTTGAGTTTATTGCTCAGGAAACGTGAGGCCATCTCAGGGAGGGAAGAGAGCAGAAATGGCCCCAGGCGACCCCTTAAAGCCTCCGGAAGCTGTGGTCCCTCATCTGGGGACACCCAGGGCTCCCTCAGTTCCAGATCGCTCTGAGTCGGAAATTGCAGTTTGTTCTCATCTCCCCCATGGGCATCAGGTGAGAGCAGACAGATGGCGTAGAGCTGGTCACTTGTTTCTTGATTTTGGTTTTGTTTTTTTTGAGACCGGATCTCGTGATGCAGTCCAGGCTGGCCTCAAACTCACTGCATCCTTCTGCCTTAGCCTCCCGAGAGCTGGGATTCCAGGCATGTGCCACCACGCCTGGTTGGCATTTGGAAGTACCATTCCACAGGATGTTCCTGTGCCTCTTCAGAGCCCTGGGGAATGCACCTATACTCCAGCTCCAGGGTGGAGGGAGGGTCACCCAGGGAGCCCTACTCCACAGTGCTGGCTTTCCTTATGTTCTCAGAAAGTGGTGGATCCCTTTGTCATGGACAATCGCCCCGTCCTCCAGAGTGCCTTTCCCCACAGAACTGAGCCTAACAGGACAACAACGCCAGAACAACTCTTCAGCCAGGCATTGTGGCACACGCCTGTCCACCCAGCACTCTGGGAGGCCGAGGCAGGAGGATCTCAAGTTCCAACACACTCTGATCAATGTAGCAAAACCCTGACTCAAAAAAAAAATTTTTTTTCTACTGGGGATGGAACTTGGGACCTTGCGCTTGTGAGGCAGGTGGTAGCACCACTGAGCTAAATCCCTGGCCCAAGCATTAACTCTTAATATTTACAGTAATCCCCATAGTCAACTCTTAGGGTGGGTGATTTGCCACTTCAGCTTTAAGAGTATCAGATATTTTGTCTGGTTGGTTGGTTTTTTGAGACAGGGTCTCCCTATGTAGCCCAGGCTGGCCTTGAACTCAAGCAATCCTCCTGCCTCAGCCTCCCAAGTGCTGGGATTATAGGTGAGTGCTACCACCCCCAAGAAATCCAATTTTTTTTTTTGAGACAAGAGTTATGCTATGCAATTCAGGCTGCCCTTGAACTTACTATGTAACCGAGGCTGGCCTCGAACTCCTAGTGACTCTCCTGCCTCAGCCTCCCAGGTGCTGGGATTATAGGCATGCACCACCACGCCTGTCTTAGAATTCCAATTTTCAACCTCACTAGAGTAACAGAACGTTGACTCCACAGTTAAGATCAGCAGTCAGCACAAGGCCAGTGGCCAGGGCCTCGCCAGAGGCAGCGTGGGTTAAGCCGTACCAGCTGCTCTCGGACCCATCCCTCCAGACCCCACCAGGAAAATCCCCGGGACGATGTTGTGCCGCCGAACCAGCAGGGGGCGCTCACCTCCCGTGGAGCGAGACGCAGACGTCACGTCGTACCTGAGCATCTGGAAGGGGTCCTGATGGCTCTGAAGGAGAAGAGCAGAAAGGTGCTCAGGCCCCGAGGCAGGCGTGGTGCGCACCTGTCACCCCCACAAGCTCGGGAGGCCGCGAGTTCCAGTCCAGCCTGGGCAGCGTGGTGACCCCGTCTCAAAATAGCTAATAAAATACATGAATAATAACTAATTAAAAATACATGAAACTCGGAGGATAAATTTTTCACTCCATTCAGCAGCATTGTGTCCTTGAACACAAATTCTGGACTCGGTCTTGCTACCTTAGAGACGCCTTCGGAGCCTCGCCAAGGACTCTGTTGCCAAGACTGCGGCATTTCCATGTTTCTTACAAAATATATGCATTGCTTTTGTTTTCTGCGACAGGATCTCACTGTGTGGTTGAGGCTGCCCTTGAATCACATGTGGGCCGGGCTGGGCTTGACCATGTGATCCTCCTGCCTCAGCCTCCTGAGGGCTAGGATCACAGGTGTGCAACACCACATCCGGACTTCGACAGTTCTCATGGGGATTACATGGCTCTAAGTTGTGTGCCACTGCACCGTCAAGAGGCTCCACTGCCCCTGAACCTGGCCTGGCCTGAGACAAGCCTTGCCCAGTAGCACACTGAGTAATTTTCCAAGCCAGGTATTAAGAGAAGTGCAGTTTCCATTTTTACCTCTTGGAATATTCCTTCTTAAATCAGACGCTGCCTGTGAGGTTCAAGAGGCTGTGTGGAAAAGCCCTCATAAGAGAGAGATCCTGCCAGGCATGGTGGCACATGCCTGTGATCCCCACGCTCAGGAGGCTGAGGCAGAAGGATCCCTGTGAGTTCAAGGCCAGCCTGGACTACATAGTAAAACCTTGTTTCAAAAAAGGAGAAAGAGAGAGAGAGAGGAAGAGAGAAAGAAAGCAACAAGTCCTTTCTGTCCCCCGCTGAGTCATGGCTCGCCCGGGCCCTGTCCGCCTTCTGCACTGCCTCGGCCTCCGGGACAGGCTGACACTGTATACAAAGTCCAAAGTCTGGCCTCCGGTGCTAAGGAGCGCAGCTTCCGGACTGAGTCAGCTTCCACCGACCCCGCAAAGCGAAGGGCCCTCCAAGGCCGGAAATCACAGCCACGGAGCGCGAGGCCACGGCCCAACCGCCCTTCCGGTGGACGACGAGTATCCAGATTTGTAAAGACCTCAAAAACCAACTCCCGAAACACAGATGGCCCAATCAAAAACTGGGCAGATGAATAGACACTTCTCAAAGAAGCCTATGAAAAAAGAATATGAGCAGAAGTATGTGAAAAAAGTGTAAGTATATGAAAAAAGTATTTGGCATTGTTGGCCATTAGGGGAATGCAAATCTAAACAGCTTTGTGATTCCATCTCACCCCAGTCAGAATGGCTGTCATCATCAAATACTCAAAAGGCAACAAACTCTTGGGGGTAGGGGCCTCCTACACTGTTGGTGGGAATGCAAACTAGTATATCCACTATGGAAATCAGCATGGAGATTCTGAAAAAAATAAAACAGAAATTCCATTCACCAGCTAACTGTACCTTTCTCAGGCACATTCCCAAGAGAATGAATGACACCACACTATTGTGATACATAGCAGTGTGAGTCAGTGTTTAAAGGAGCACAGTTCATAGTGGCTGCACTCTGGGAGCAGCCTAGATGCCTGTCAATGGATGAATGAATAAGGGAAATACAGTGTACAGACACTGTGGAATATTACTCAGCCATCAAGAAGAATAAAATCGGGCCAGGGATTTAGCTCAGTGGTTCTGCCGCCTGCCTTGCAAGCACAAGGTCCTGAGTTCGATCCCTGGTACCAAAAAGAAGAAGAAAGAAGAACAAAATCATATCACCTGCAGGAAGATGGATGAAACTTGAAACCATCATGCTAAGCAAAATAAGCCAGACTCAAAAAACTAAATATCATATGCTTTCCCTTATAAGAGAAACCTGAAATATAAATAAATTAATGAATAAAAGAAAGACTCTGGGAGACAGGAAAGGGGACTGAGGGGGAAAGAGGGGTTTAAAGTGAACAAGATGTGTCATCCACATGTCCCCATCTGCCCAAAGGAAGGCCACTATTCACTATCCACTTATTGAAAAGAAAATAAGATAAAAAGTAAAAAGAGCCGGGGTGCAGCTCCGAGCCACAGCATCCCTGGGTTTGATCCCTGTACCCATCCCCCTCGAAAATAAAAATTAGAAAGCTGGCCGGACCTCAGCCCCACCAACGTGTCCGTCTCCTTAGGACTAAATGGCGCTCCGGGCAAGCAGTGGGCAGCACGGTCAGGCTCCCTGAGGATTGGCTCCCTGGGCCTTCGGGCCTTGGACTTCTGATCAGTCCCGCGGCGTTCGGGCCGGGCTGCAGCAGTCAGGCGTTTCCTTTCCCGGGTCGCCTACCGCGGGCGGCCTGTGTCCTCTAGCGCCACCTGGTGGCAGCAGGGCCGCTGGCCGAGCTGCACTTCGGCGGCTCGTGATGTGATTTCCGTCGAATAAGCCCGGGAGCCCGAAGCCAGGGCAGCACCAGGAGGAGGGAAGCGAGGCCAGGGCAGCCGGGCGGTGTGAGGGAGGACGCCTGCAGGGCGCAGCGAGCGCCCCCGGGAGCGAGGCCCTGAAGGCCACAGTAGAGCAGCGTGACTGCAGGAAGGGAAGGCAGGGAGGAGCCTCCCCCAGACCGGCTCCCTGCAGCTGCTTGCAATGCAATCAGAAATAGGAGGCCAACGCCTGTCTGGGCTGGGATGGGAAGAACACAGAACCGGAGACACTGGCACGGGACTGGCATTTGCCATTCCCAGTTTCTGGCAGGAGAAGCACTGTGAGCTCGGGGAGGCTGAGGCAGGAGGATTGCAAGTTCCAGACCAGCGTGGGCAGCTTAGTCACTTAGGGAGGCCCTGTCTCAAGATAAAATATAAGAAAGGGCTGGGGTGCAGCTCAGTGCAGAGGTCGTGGGTTCAATCCCCAGCACTGCAAAACAAAAACAAGAAAACCCCACCATGTATGTGGCTCAGCGTTCTGGCGGCTGGAAAGTCTGCCCTGCATGCAGAAGCCCACGGGGAACGGCCAGGTGCCGGCGGGCCTTGCTGTGTAACGACCCCTGTCCCTCAGGACCAAGCCCAGCACGTGAGGCCTCACCCACCCACGACCACCATTCACCTCTTTCAGGGGTGGTGACTCCGAGATCTAACGTCTCCCTCCCAAAGTTTCCGTGGCCTCAATTCCATTACCCCGAGGACCTGCATGCGAATCTTGGGGACAATCCACATGGAAACCCAGCGAAACCATTAAGATTGTGGCCTGAATTATATGACTATGTAACACCTCAGTATAAAGTGGGCCAAAGCCCAGCCACAATCCTCCTAGGGCAGAGGAAATGTGTTAAGATGAAACATGCAAGTGAACATTTATTCTATGTGTTTTGATTTGTTGTTTGGTGACAGGGTCTCGCTATGAAGTTCAAGCCAGCCTTGAACTATGTGGCCCAGGCTGAGCTTGAACTCGTGGCAATTCTCCTGCCTCAGCTTCAAACTCATGGAGCTCCCCCCACCCACCTCAGCCTCCCCAGTGCCGGGAGTCCAGGCGTCGGGACGTGCCCTCCTTCCTGCCCGTGCACTACTCACCTGGATGCATGGCATGGTCGAGACCTGTTCAGCTCCCGGTACACCTGGGCCAGGCCGTTGCCACTCTGGCTCTTGTCCTCAGCCGAGGACACGTAGACGACCATGGTCTGGCCCGTGACGCACAGCTGCTGGCGGATGAGGTGGTCCTACTTGAGGTCCGTCACCTCCGGGATGCTGTAGGCGCTGCACCTGCAGGCGTGGCCTTGCTGGCCCCACAGCGTCCTCCTCAGGACCACGGGGCAGAGCAGCTGGGAGGAGAACCACACAGTCCCGCTCCCCACGGGAAGAGGCCTGGGGACACAGGGGACAGAGGTAGCCCTGAGCACTGCTGCCCACACTCAAGGCTAGTGCGGGAGACACTCACTTAAGTCTGACAGCCCGGGCAAGCTGAGATTCTGAAAACTCAATGATTTGACCCCAAACACACAAGTAGTAAATAGCACTGGACTCTGGAATCTGAACCCATGTGGGTTTTTCCTATCATAACACTCCATCTCAGCGGAGACTGTCCTGCCTCAGCTTCCTGAAACTAGGATTACAGGCCTACACCACCAGCCCTGGCTGACAGCCATGATATTCTGTAAAACGCTACACTGTGTTGAACAAATACTGCTTTTCTCCATTCCTGTTTTTATCAGTAGAATCACAGGTCTCCTCCTGTTCTCTGGTGCACGTGGCTTTCCTGGTCGGCTGGACGGTTCTGTGCTCCAGGGGTTTTCAGTTGCTGTGGTAGCTCAGCACCATGCATGGGTGACTGGGGATTATTATAAAGAAGGGACAGCTTGCTTGTGCCGGAAAGAGGACACTGGAGCCAGAACATGGTCACTCTCACTCAGGGTGCCAGGTTCGTCAGCTGATGAAGGGCAAGATCTCCCTGTGTTTGTTCATGGCTTTCAGAGTCCCAGGCCTCACAGCACTGCCGCGCTGTGTTTTCCCATGCATGGACCTCTGTGTGTGACAACACTGGCTGAACTCTGTGAAAAGCATGGAGTTTAAAATCCAGATGATGCATTTTTTGTGTGTTTTGACTGCAGGTCTCAGCTTTATTCAATAAATGCATATTTTCAGGTCTGCATCCACATTTTTTTTTATATCTCTTGCATTCCTGGAGCTCAAACCTAGGACCTCACGCGTGTTCAAGCGAGTGCTCTACCATGAGCTGCACCCCAGCCCTGTATGGGCAGTTTTAACCTCAAAAGTGCATCATAGAGTCTGTATTCCTAGCACTAAGGAGGCTGAGGCAGGAGGATCACTGTGAGTTGGAGGCCCGCCTGGGCTACATATGAGAGCCTGTCTCAAAAAAACAAAAAATAAAAAAATAAATTAAAAAAATCAGTTCACATAGAAGTGTGAAATGCTTGTGTTTTGACTTCCTAATTTTGATCATCTGGACAAACATTTTAGAACAGCTTTGTGATGCCTCCCTGCTTCCGCCATTGTCCATGTAAGTGGTTCCTTTAATCTGGGTTTTGTGCACCCTTCTGGTGTGGGGCCAACCCCACGCCTGCTACAGGGATGTGGCCTGGTGACTTCGGCCTCTTGGTATCAGGTGGCCCTGGCACAAGTTCCAACCCCTCCAGGGTGATGGGGCCTTAGGACAGTCAGCTGAGTTCCGGTGGGCGCTGACAGCTGGATTTTGTTGTTGTTGTTCTTGTTGTTTGTTTTGCTGTCCTGGGGACTGAACACAGGGCTTCACACACAGCTGCATCCCCAGCTCTTTACAAATATTTTCGTTTGAGACAATGTCTTGCTAACTTCCCCAGCTGGGCTCAAATTTTCGATCCTCCTGCCTCGGCCTCCCCGAGTGCTGGGATGACAGGTGCATGACACTGTGCCTGCTCTGGGCTGGTTTTAACTTGTGCCTGATGTGTCCATAGTTCACAAGAGAGCCAGGCACACACTGACTGGCTGTGGCCCCAGATCCAGCTCGGCCCCTTCCTCCTGCCCGGATGGAGGGGCAAGGCCTGTGTCCCCCAGGGGGCAGTGGCCCTGGTCTGCAGCTGTCCTGTCCCGGTCCCAGAGGTGCAGACACATGGGGCATCCGCCCTCAGGATCGCAGGGAAAGGAGAAACATTGCTTGTGACTTTCACATGCTGTCCCCGACCCCAAGGGCAGGCGTTTTCAGTACAGGGCTAAGTTTTAAACGTGTGGTCCCTAAAGAGATCGAAACCAACCAATCAGCGTGGATGGCCTTGCCTGTAATCCCAGCACTGGAGAGACTGAGGCAGAAGGATCTCCATGAGTTCCAGGACAGCCTGGGATACACAGCAAGATTCTGTCTCAAAAAAACAGAATAAAACAACAAGCGAAACAACCCAAACCGAGCCTTGCTTCCTGGTTGATTTGAATTGCGCTGCTAAGCGGGAAGCCGGTTAGGAGGCGGACAGGAGACCCCCAGGCTCGGCACTAAGAGCACGCAGGTGTCCAGCGTGAGGCCCAGCCTGCTGGCAAAGGAGCAGTGGGCGGCAGGCCCTGCTGGGCCACCCCCGAGACCCCAGTGAGCTTACAGGGGCCCCTGCGGCTGGGCCGGCGTCCTCCGGGGCTGGCGCAGCCGTGGCTGCAGCAGTGGCGGCTTCGGGGCCCTCGGTGCACAGATGGAGTCTGAGCCTCGCAGACCCTCGAGAGCCCCGGGCGCCGGTCCCCACAGGGCCTCCTTGGGCGAGGCCAAGTGCGTCCTGCCCGCTATGGCGGGGGTGCGGGGGGGGCATCGCATGCGGAGAGCAGGTCCAACCCTGCAAGGCGACAGCAGACTCCACTCAGCACGCCTTCCGGACCTGCTGCACCGGGGGAAATCGGCGTGGAGAATGCTAAAACTAAAACCAGAAATTGCCATGGACTGGCTATGCCCCTTCTAGGTATCTTCCTGAAAGAGTTAAAGACATCAGATTTCAGTGATCCATGCACACCCACAAAATTTTGGAAACTGCCTATAACGTCTATCAACAGGTGGAGAAAGAAAATGTGGCATTTACACACCGTGGAGTACTAGGCTGCCATAAAGAAGGATAAACTTGAGTCATTTGTAGGAAAATGGATGCACCATGAGACCATAAAGTGAAGTAAATCAGACACACAAGCTTAAATATCACATGCTTTCTCTTACATGAGAAACCCAAAGTATAAATAAGTGAAAGAGCAAAATAAAAGATAAGATGACGAAAAACGGGTAGGCAGACTTTCTGCAGATGGGAAGGGGATCCAGGGAGGGAGGAGGGTGGGCTAGGGGAGGAGAAATGCAAAGGCCCAAGGAGCCCCACGTGCAGCACACGGTCCCGAGGATGCAATCACTAGGCGTCCAAACATGCACTAATCCAAAGGCAGGACCCGGATGCTCCTTTCCGCTGGGTTTTATTTCCCCGCACCTCTTGTCTCCTTGGAGGACCCACAGCGATTCCGTAACAAACGGGCAAACTTCCGGGCTCCAGCAAATCCAACCGACGGCGTTCACTGTGCTTACCGCGTGCCAGCTACTGAGCCAAGCACCGTAAGGGCCCGTCCTGCCGAACTAGCACGGTGCGCGGTGAAGACTCGGGGTCCTCCTATCTGTGCAGCGAAGGGTTCACAAGCCCTGGGTCAAAACTACTTGGGGTAACCCGCGTCTGTGCCGCACACATGCAGGCGTGGCCCATGTTACCGTCCCCAAGCAGGGCAGTGAATCGGCCCGGGCAGGACGGGTGCCTCTGCTTCGCCATCTCCGGAGAGCAAGGCCGTAGAAAACTAAACCGTAAAGCCCCATCCTACTGGTGCTTATCACAGACAGGGTGCTTTTTAAAACTGGCGTGT